AATAGCACTAATGGAAGGGGAGGGGCTTCTATCAAACAAGTATGGGAACTAGATATTCTATTCACATAATCATTGTCCAGTCCAATTTCCAATAAACATAAAATCATGATCTGATTGCATTGCATTATTTCGACTTTGTATGGTGACAAGGTCTCTCATTATTATTACTTTATTACATTAGTATATGATATTGATCTATGATGTCACATAGACTGAATATGGAATACAAGACGTTACATTACTCCCCTTTTAAAGATAATTGTCGGCCACTGAATTACTCTAGGAACATTGATATTATCAATAAAGAAAAGAAACCTCTGTCTAATAAAACATATTTGAGTGAAATGGTGACACGTTTCTGCAGAGTAAAGAATAAAACCTAGGGGTAAAATGTTTTCATTTTGCAGGATAAAAAAAATAAAACTATTACCCCATAGGCAGTCACAATTCATTTAATATTATTGTTATGATATGTGTCAGTTCTAAAGGGACCCTAAAGGGGGACTCCAATAATTAAACATTAAGCAGAATCATGCTGTCTGACTAGCAGCCTAGTGCTGTAGATCCATTAAACACTAGACTTTTAATACATTTAACTTTTTCAAGGATTACATTTCAGAATTTTTCTGGAGCATTTAAAACAGTCAATTGTGTCAGTGTGTTATATTTTACTTTGTTTACCACCAATGATGAGGAATACCCCTCGACTATGTACGCATACTTCACATATCTATGATCGTAATTTTAAGTACCACGGCCTTGTAAATGTGAAGACCAACCACCCAGCCTTGAGAAAAAGCAGTGATGCCACATAAAGCAGAGCTACATAATGAGTCAATCAGAAAGAAATCTACAAATGGGATCAATTAGGTTGAAACCCAGAAATGAATTTCTCATTAAAATGAATAAAAAATGTGTAATTTCCCTAAACAGGAGATTATATGTGAAATCTTAGTCATTTCAGGAAGAAATTACGATTCATAAAATGTCAAAAGTAGGCGATCTTAAGCGAGTATGAAATAACAAACCTATATTTACTGAAACATCTGTAATCAATAACGTTGAACAAGTCTATATCACAACATTAAAATCAAACACAATGAGGTTTGAAAAATATATCCTGACTTCAAAATCAGGGTATGGTTTTGCATCGAGCTCCTGCCAGCCCCTCCCATATACCACCCTGAGAGAGATTTGGAAAAGAGATAATTCAGGGCTTATTACAAGACTATCCTCATATGGAGAGGAAGTCACTCTAGCAAAGGATAAAAAAATATTCACAAAATTTGCACTCTGTGAGGTATGCTGCAAGTCTGGTATAAATCAGAATCATACATTTTGATGCTAATCACATGTTTTTCAGTCTTGGGATCATATGACCTCTGATTATTCCCACAATGCATTTCTTCCCCTTTGCAACAGTATTTTATATTCTATCAATTTTCTTTAAATCTAATATCATATACTCTTTTAAAACCCTATCCATTTGGTAGGAATATATAGTCACTTCAGTTCAAAATGTCTAGAATTTGCTAATATTCAATTTCAATTCAAACTCCCATAACATATGTATGTAAAAATGTGTAAATCATTGTAATAGTCAGAGGGAAATGTGGCTAAGTGAGGATTCAGGATTCCCCTTGTTATAGAATGCATGGTTTGAATTGGCTTACATCTGAAAGGTTGAATACAACAGATAATGGATTCATTATAATCCTGTTTTAAAGCCCTTAGGACCCTTCCTTTGACGAACCTCACTTCAGAAGTGACTTAGATGGAGGTCCACTCAACAGACTTGAAGCAAGACAAGATACTTCCTTCATCTATACCCTCTATTTACCGTATCTATCTATATGCCTTATGCCTTATCATTTATAACCAACAACATACAAAAAATAATGCAAGAGCACATATGAATTCAATCAATTATCATAATGGACATAAATGATTGTTTTCCATCTTCCTCATTAGGGATAATAATACATGATATGCATGCTGCATGGCATATAAAGTATGTGTGGTACAGAAAACCAGTAAAGATTGATGACACCATTGTTTGCTAGACCGGAGAAAATCCCCAAATCCTACTATTCATTTTAGAAGGTCAGATACACTTTGCTTCCTTTTCCAGGTCCATTAAAAGGGAGGCAGGTTCTCCATTTCCTCTATATTTATACAGAAAGAAATCAGGAGCATCTGTACTTTAGAATATTTAAACCAGGGCCCAGAAACCTCATTATCTCTACTACTGATCATACTGTTAAACCAAAACCAGTGTATTCGTTCAGTCATATGAAATACCTGTTAAACCAGTGTATTCCTTTAGTCATATGACATACCTTGATGGATTAAGATAACTTCTGATCTGGAGCAGTATAGGATGTGTATTGCATAAATCCAGAGAAGGGAAGAAGGAGGGGTTACTTCATCAAGGTTCAAGGAGTTTATGTTCGTGGGTGGAATCAAACATTTATAGACTAAGTGTTTTATGAAAGCACATGAGATGTGTAGCTATTCAATACTTTGAATGAATGAATTATGAACATTCAACTGTGTATTTATCCATCCCACACACGTTATGTTCATATACTCAAATCCTGATGTAAAATTACAAATACTACACAGTAATGTATAATGTGTAAAGCATAAAGAAATAAGGTCTGTAACATGAACATCCCCCTCCCCCTGTATTTCCTCAAATGCCAAACAGATTTATCACAAACTAGAATAGAGTCTAGACTATAATTGAAAGAGGGAGGGGTCAGAGATACAAAAGAAAGGTAAACCTTGAATAAGCCAATTTGGTAGATGCAAACTGCAAAGCCAAGAGTTCACTAGTGTTGTGCTACATGAGGCTGTTTTCCTCATAAACATATACAGCCAAAATAACTTCAGCCTTACATCTTTGCATCTATGCACATTTCTAACAGCTCTGCATTATATATGATGCTATTTCTGCACTAGATTTGATATCCTAGTATACTGGATCATTTCAGGAAGATTAGATCAGGTTTTCTCAGAGCCCTAAGTTTCAAACTCACTAGGGGGGCTGATAGAATACCTAACAGGTAAAATGATGAAAGACAGCGCAGGTACAATTACGAGAAAGTATACTCCAAAATAGAACTTTTAAAGGCATTCCAAGATTCTGCAAAACAATAGGCAATTTTGGTAAAGGCAATAGACATCATCTCCAGATACTTGACCTGCTTTTAATTAAAGTCCCAAATAAATGTATATATAAAAAACTACATGTCAAGGGCTGGTATACTATATAGCACTATACTCTTGATCAATATATTTTTCAATGACTGATGGATGCAGAATACTGTAGTAATGTTAGGGTTGTAGTGTGTTATGTTCTAAATATGAACATTTCAAGTACTAACTTATCAGTTATCTGACCTCTACACTACTAGCCCAATTCATTATAAATCTGACCTGTAGTTTTTATACAAGAATTCTCGTCTGACTTGATACTCATTCCACAAAAGGCTCTGGTCGGGAGATACCTGATATAATATTAATTTGATGTGAATTAGTCTATTTGCAATATGGGATAATACTGACAAGATTCTGGAATTCATCATACATGAATCAAAATATGAAATTTGAAAAAGGTCAGAATGCATCTAATGACATACTACAGGATCGTATTGGGTTTACAAGTATTTTATCATTCCAACAAACATATTTTGCAAAAAAATTATATAAATAGTTAATTTTACATGAGAGCCTTACAGGGTATATATAAGTATGCATTTAGACATCCATCTTAAAATGAAAAAAATAGCAAAATAAGTTTCAAATATGTATAAAAACTGCCATAGCATGAAAATAAGTTTCAAATTTATAAAAACTGTCAACATCACAAAGTTTATCAAGGACAACATATAGAGTCAAGAGAAGCAACAATGATCTAGCATTTCATTCAGGGCTATTATATATACATCATTCTCTTTACAAGCTCTTAATTCAATGGCAAATCCTCGATCAGTCATTGGATACAAGCCAGCAAAAAACATTAAGATTTTGCAACAAAGTGATAAATTAATGAGATAATATGGCTCTTCTTTTCAATGCAGAAGCAAATTTAAGGTGAACATTTTGCGAATACATCGTGTCATTTTTATTATTTCTATTTTGTCAAATGAAGTAGTGCTTTTTATTGGATTGAAACGACTCAGATAAAAAGCCACGGCCATGACTGATTTTTTGAGGTTGCAAGGGTCGCAACTCAAGTATTTTGCACCTAAAATTAGTGAAACGATACCATGATTTTTTAGAACAAACAAAGGCTCTAGCTTGTGTTGATAATAGGTTTTTGAAAAAAAACTGAGAAATAGAGTAACAACACAGATCCTCTTAATTTCGCCGAATCCCAGTCTACTTGGGAAATTTGAAGAAAGGAACTGCAGAGAAGAACACGATGAATGAAACTGCCTGGAGAATGGAAAAGCAATCTTATGCTGTACATCATTCTTCCTAGATGATATATTAACAAGTCTCACGTTGTATTACTTTAATATCACAGTATTAGATGTTATAATCTGAAAGAAATTACTCTTTCAAATAGACCCAAATGCATCCATTAAATTGGAGATAACATTTTTTAGCTATTACCTGGCAGGATGGGCTATATGCTCATAAACCAGATACTTTACTTTTTTAATTACATCAGTCACTTGATATTGAAACCTTAAAACCACATATAACAAATAGTTAGAAAGAAGAACAAGGTTACCTGGGGATTCAAGGTGAAAAGGGTGAAAATACGATAATGAAATACAAATAATTGTTAGTTACAAGGGGGCACATATATATTTTTCAATATTTTGATTTTGCTTCTTCTACCGACAGCTTCATGTATAATAAAATTCCTGCAAAATTTTAGGTTGTTCTCCTGTGCGCCCCTTTAATCTTGACTGGCTCACTCCATAAAACAAAGAAATAGAAATTAACTTGATCTTTCAGTTCTAAAGAATATAAATGACTCTTACCTCTTGCCGACAATTTTTTTGTGTTGATTATTTTTGCGGCCATTTCGAGGCCAGTTGACTTTTGCACACATCTTCGCACAATGGAAAAGGCACCCCTGTAAATGAAAGAATTTAAACATGTATATTTAACTGTTAACATGTAAAATTCTTGAATACCGTAAAGTCAAACCCAATGAGCGACAACCGACACATAAAAGATGATTCACTAAGTACTATGTACACTAGTTAGAACTTGTTCATTTTCTCAGATGTTTCTCTTATCAAGCCAGTTAGCTGATTTTTTTCTCATAAATAAGCAAATTCAGGCAAAACAGAATCCTAAGCCCCAGAACCTTGTGATCTTAATGACCTTAATAGAGAAGTAGTAGTCAAAGCCTTCAATGCCACTGTATGGTGAATCCTATAACTAGGAACAAATAAATATATAGTTTAGATGCAGATAAGATCTTCATGACCTCACAAAAACAGCCATGACCTTCAATAGGACTTTAAATAAGAAATAAATGGCAGCTGCTTATGAATGCATAAACTTCTGTGATTATCATTCTCTTTGGGAATGAAGCTCGATATCCCGAAATTAAACAATATGGACAGAGGTATGTTTCATACAATTAGGACTATATGGTTTAAACTGATCCGAAGCATGCCTTTGGTATATAAAGAGTTACAAGAGCTCATCCGCATCAAAGCTATAGGCTAACCCAGAGATCGCCCTTGAACCGAGGCGTCATTATATTTCCCTTCTTTTTCTGTGGTGAGATACATGTTTCAATTGATATGTGAGAAAAGTGACAATCTGAATTGAAGTATACGAAGCATTTCTCTGCAAATTCAAATGAAACAGAGTTTCCATGGATGAGAAGAAAGATGCAAGACAAAAATTATTTTGGGATCTACTTCAAGAAAAATTTGACAACAAAAATCCAAATTTCTATCTCTTCATTTGACTTCAAATTCCTGCACAAATAAACATCAGATACTGTTGTAAATTTGCCAACATATACCAGACACATTGATAAATATGTAAACATAATACTTACTTCCCCAATTCCTCCTTTAGATCATAAATATCACTAAACTTTCCTGTAGTGCTTTGAGACATAACTTGGGCCATGATTGAATCTTGTAATTTTCTAAGGCCCCTCAAATTTGAGAATAATATGTCAATTGCTAATTATTTAGGTTATCATGTAGGGAAAAATGTATCCCAACTGCTTCTCTGATGCATAAAATATCCTAAATAATGCGTCCAATTAAAGCAAAATGCCGATAATCCGCAGACTTCTATGGAATGTGGCTCAATGAAGCATTTTCAATTAGTGGGAGGGGTCTTTTTATTGACATCTCGCATATTCTCCAATTATGACGAGAACATTCGAGATTTAAAAAAGTGGACTCAGAAACTTACAAAATATCTCTAATTTCGCTATATACACTGTCCAGAGTAAGTGCATGTTTTATAAAAGATGAAACCATAATTTATGAGTGTAATATTATGTGAATGGTAATGTCATGTTGATCGATCTTTTTCACAAAAACAGTTTACGGTTGAAATCCTAATTTTTCTCAATTTTCTCAGTCTTCAGTTCAATTTCAATCAATGTGTTAGACTTTGTCTAATCATCTTGTATTTTGCAGGTATATACATACAATACATCTCAAGATGACATCAATATTATTGCGTCAATGCCGAATGCTTTCAAGAACATTTCGTCCCAATCAAGCATCTTTCAGTGCACGTCAACATAGCTACGACCAGTCGCATGAATCTGACAAAACAACAGTTCGCATCATGAACATGGAGCAAGATTTAGGAATTATGGTTGATACGTTTAGTCCACATGGGTTTCGATTGAATAATGGCTTTCAAATAATTGGACCGTGTGCTCTGTTCCCTCGAAGTGTTCTACATTGGAATGTTGAGGGTTGTCATGACATAAATGAGGAATCGTTATCTTTATTCACTCTTTTGGAACCGAAAATTGACATTCTTGTTCTTGGGATTGGGGATCGGGCAAACAAAATAGACACAAGCATTATTAAATTCTTACGCTCGAAGAAAATAAGTGTTGAAATCCTCCCCACAGAAACAGCTTGTTCCACATTTAATTTTTTGAATGCTGAGAAACGCTACTGTGCAGCAGGACTTATACCACCATCGGGTGAAGAACTTGAATATGAGGAAGATATGGTATTACAACAGCTTGCCCGTCAAAAGGATATATACACCATGGTTGACAGTGATATTCCCGAAGATCCAGAGATGGTCAAGGAAATGCTTCAGAAAGGACCAGAGAAATTAATGAATAAATTAGCTGGTAGAGAAAGCAACACATTGCCTGATTTCAATGATCCAAAGTATCGCTCACAAATCAAAAAAGATAAATAGTTATTCTGTTGTTTTTCGTCTTTAAAGATTTAATTTTTTGAATGCTGAGAAACGCTACTGTGCAGCAGGACTTATACCACCATCGGGTGAACTTTAAAGATTTCTTCTGAACTCTAGATTCTGTTCTTGTGAACATTTCAAGCTAATTGTTATGAACATTAAATTTCAACTCAAGGAGCATCTCTGAAATAAAAAGCAAACTTCTGTAAATTTCTGTAATGGACTCTTCTAATTATGAATTATGCTTACTCGTGTAATGAATGGTTTGGTGTAGAAACTTCATGAAATACTATGTCTGTATGTGAATACTTATCTTTCAAGGCAAAAAATGTGTACGTTTAAATCGTTAAACAAAATCTTCAAAGTAAAAAACTCTGGAAGACGAACATCTCAAAGAGAGAAACACTTCAAAGTTCTATTAATGATCCTTTGTAAATGGAACATCTCCATGGAGCATCACTATTTTGAGGTGCCAAAACTTTTCTACTAGGCTAACAGAGATGTCATTGTCAGTTCAAATAACTTTCTTATGCAAACATGTACATGTTTCTTGTGGTTAAGATCTTTAAATGCTGTTGTCAGATGATATTTATTGTGCTTTTAAAATACATTATTGAGTCTTAAAAAACAATAACAAAGCACAATTTTTTGTTTTTTTCACACAATTTATTTCTATAAGCAACAGAGCCGAATGCAGCCAAATTTATTTATTGTACATACTGTACATAAGTTACTATTAAAGATAATTCAGTACTAGTCTTGATAACTAGTCTTGGGGTATTAGTGACTATTCAATATGGTAATATTCGAGAAAATACCTAAGCAAAATGGCTACCGTAATTGTAAACTGTTTATTGACTGATTTGAACTGGTATTCTGGAAGAATTAGTAAAATCATCAAATCAAACCAGGTGCCAGATGAACGTAAAGGTAGAATCTCTGACAAAGGCAATTTTTGTTTATTGTTCATGTCCTAATTCAGATTCACTCTTTAAGTAACTCATATTTATACATCACATGATATCATGATTGACAGGTTGAGAAGAGAGACACCTCATATTTTTTGGTTTTATAAACATATGCAAACCTGTCTCATTAGTAAACACCTCTTTCTAGTGAACACCTGTGTTTAGTGAACTCCATTTCAAGACACATTTTACATTGACTCTTGTATACAATCCCCTATCTGTAGTGAACACCTACCTCCAGTGAACATGTTTTGTGGTTCAATAGGTGTTCACTGTATACAGGTTTTACTTGTACATGCACATAATGATGGTTCTCAAGTGTAGATACAGTTGTATGGCTATGAACATTTCTAGACAACAAACATTGTATCTAATTAAATAACCTACACACATATGTTGAGTTTACACTGAACTTTAAATGGTGTTATAATTTATATATCATAAATATATACAAAAATAAATCTACTTTAACAAAACAGGTTGTTGACCTGAAATGAAGACTTTAAAAATGGAATGTAAAATATCATCAGTTCTGGACAAAATTATATATTGCTAGTGGTTTAACATATTTGATTCAACACTCTTACAAATACAGGGTGTCCCGTTATCATTAAATATAGCAATAACAAAATAATTCAAAATAGTGTAGAGATCCTCGTGCTATTTCAGTCGGATTAAAGAAACATTTTTTTCACATTATACCCTGCATCAGTAAAGATTAAAATAAAATATCAGTCCACTGACTGATTACAAAACATATTTAAGTTAATTTACCATGGATGGTAAATGGTGTATGCTTTTAGATAGAAAATATACAGTTATAAATACTATAATATACAATATAAATACTATGAACTATTATGTATAATCCAATTTTAGTCTTGCTTCAAGAATGTGGACCTGACTCCTATCTAAACAACACAGTTGTTAGGGTAGATAGTCCAGGGTCTTGGAGCAAAACTATTGCAACTTTAACACTTCATAAACCCTATCACAGATAAAGAATGTAAGCTACCATATTTGGTTTGTGCTGCATGGCACAAGCCTCAAGTGTTTTATTTTTTTTTTTATTCATCAACATTTCTTATTTAAATATCTCAAAAACATCATCATAAAACTTACATATTACATATTACACATTAAAGTGTGTATGAGCCTAAAAAAGTGATAAAACAGTGATAAACCTACTTTCTCTCTAAAATGTGGCAAAAATGCCAAGATCTTCATTTCCAAAATATTGTACAGTAACTTGAACAATATTTAATTCTAGTTCTATCCTTGATGAATATTTAGCCAACCTGGTTATTCTAATCAGCCTACCTTAAATCTGACTTCTAGTGGAATTACAGTAGACTTGATGCAAGAAGAAATAATCTTGATTTAACATTATTTAATATTGAAATCTACATGTAAAATTACCTCTAGAAATGTGATTTCAAAAATTGTTTATCAACTTTAAAAATTTAATTTTCTTTGAAAATGTAACTTCTAGGTGGGAGAGATTTCCCATAGTTAGACCCATGTTAAAAAATCCCGAAAAATGAAATATCTTTTCTTGTATTGGACGGATAATATTTTCTTTTACTGGACACATTTTAATTTGTATAACTATCAGATACATAGGTAATATGAAACCGATCCACTAAAACTGATGAATATTCAAGTTTAATCGAACCATCTACTATATTTGCCATGTTACCTGGCCTAAATTAGCCACCTAGTGGGGAAACTGGTAGCTACCTACTGGCATCTGGGTTATTTTCAATAAATGACATTTTACAATATGCGTCCATAACAAAATATATTACATTGGTCATCATATTCTTCTTTGTATTTTCATCTTAGACCAATAGTAAGGAAATTAGCTTCAGAATTCCCTTTAGACCTGAAGTAGAGCATGACCATCATGATTTCAATTAAGGAGTTCCATGGGGCAATGCTGTACATACATACCTTGTTCAGTCACCACAGAGTGTTAACCATATTTGGTTATATGAAATACCTTGATAAATCAAGATGAAGTGACCATGGTCCCAAGTCTAAGACGTAATTCTAAACAATACTTCAGTCTCCAGCTCTTAATTAGAGATCATAAGCAATGAGAAGTTATTCCAAAGAGTTCCTCGTCCTTGCCTGGGAATTAGATCACAATAAGTAATTCACAATGCCTAGTCCTTGCCCACAAGGGCAAGCAGGACTTTCTTGTAGTTGAAGCTAGTGTCATCTTTGATCCAGCGCCAAAGGGTCTGCTTGGTGATTTCCAAGAAACACTGTTTGATCTGAACAAGATCAATCTGAAAACATCAGTTATATTTTATATATCTATATTGTACAGAAATATGTGTTTTAAGCAATATTTTATACATCAACAGCAATGTGTTATGTAGTAGGAACAAAAACAAAATTTCTTAATACCTCACTCCTGGAGATAATGATCCTTGTCAACGTCTTCTCATCTGTACCCAGTCCTTTCATAGCTCTCTCAAGTCGTCTGGCAAACATCATGGGTCGACATTTGATGTTCTCAGCTGTAAGAAGAGTTAATGTCAATGCGCGTTCAATTTGTGAAGTTATCTTAGCTTTTTTCATTATTTCATGACAATTTATCAATTATTACATACAAAACAGCAGCTTTTTCTAAATCTCTATTATATAGTTTGTAGTTTGTACCTATAGCAACGAGTCCTCGCTTATAATCGCCAGATGTTTCTCTGTCTATAGAATTAGTGATGTCTCTTTGTGCAAGCTAAAATACAATAGATGCAATATGTATGCTTGTTGGGTTAGTCTAAAGCATTTTGATGCACTATGTTGTATATTCTCTACAATGAGGGTTGTAAACTTTTTGACAAGTTTTACTGGCTGACTGCTTAAACTGCATATACTAATACATTACTCGTACTATTTGATATATCCCACAAAAAATGAATGAATGAATGAATGGTTCTCCATCTTCTCTTCCTATACTGATGACAAGATTCCCTGTGCCGCCCGCACACTCACATATTTATAATTTTCCCGTCCATTCCACATACATGTATCTGTCCCATAATATCCTGCTTTTCACATATATATAATTCTTCCATATTTCTCACGTATAAGTCCCACATATCTTACCTTCACATATTGGTCCCATGTCTCTCTAAGTTGGTAGAAATCTCTAGTGGAGAATATACGTGTGAACTCCTGCTCATCAGTACCCCATTTGTCCTCACCAGCCTTGAAGAGAATCTCGGCATCTCTGGAATATACAGTACATGGCTATGTATTATACTATTATTCCTGGTAAATTTCCCCTGTCTTGAATCACCGAACGCACGCTGTAATAAACTGAGTCTTCCTATCATTTTCCTCTTGGGTTTAGGTGCTTATTCAAAGTTCACACTGGTGAGGAGTGACCATTCTTGCAAGTTTTTATTGTGCCAGGTCCCTTGATGGATTAATATACAACACATTCTGTGAAAATTTCAATTTCAATCCGAATACAAGGCATTAACATGACAAAATGTCACCACCTAAAACAATTTGGTCAATTTAAAGCAAGTTGAAAAAATACCTCTTTGACTTTTTTTGACATTGAGAAGGTCAAATGTCAAATGTAAAGTCAGATTTGAACTTCTGAGAACATGTAGATGATTTTGAAAAAAAAATTAAGTAAATTTGAAGCAAGTTGAAAAAAGACCTTTTTGACCTTGAAAAGGTCATTGAAGGTCAAATGTCAAATCTAAAGTCAGATTTGAACTTCTGAGAACATGTAGATGATTTTGAAAAAAAAATTAAGTAAATTTGAAGCAAGTTGAAAAAAGACCTTTTTGACCTTGAAAAGGTCATTGAAGGCCAAAGGTCAAATCTAAAGTCAGATTTGAACTTCTGAGAACTTGTAAAGTCAAATTTGAACTTCTGAAAAGATGTAGATGATTTTGAAAAAAGAATTTGGTCAATTTGAAGCAAGTTGAAAACAGACCTTTTTGACCTTTTTTGACCAAAGGTCAAATGTCAAATCTAAAGTCAGATTTGAATTTCTGAGAATATGTAGATGATTTTGAAAAATAAAATTAGTCAATTTGAAGCAAGTTGAAAAAAGACCTTTTTGACCTTTTTTGACCTTGAGAAGGTCATTGAAGGTCAAATGTCAAATCTAAAGTCAAACCTAAAGTCATATTTGAATTTCTGAGAACATGTAGATGATTTTGAAAAAAAACAGACCTTTTTGACCTTTTTTGACCAAAGGTCAAATGTCAAATCTAAAGTCAGATTTGAATTTCTGAGAACATGTAGATGATTTTGAAAAAAAAATTAGTCAATTTGAAGCAAGTTTAAAAAAGACCTTTTTGACCTTTTTTGACTTTGAGAAGGTCATTGAAGGTCAAATCTTAAGTCAAATCTAAAGTCAGATTTGAATTTCTGAGAACACGTAGATAATTTTGAAATTTTTTTTTAGTCAATTTGAAGCAAGTTGAAAACAGACCTTTTTGACCTTTTTTGACCTTGAGAAGGTCATTGAAGGTCAAATGTCAAATCTTAAGTCAAATCTTAAGTCAGATTTGAATTTCTGAGAACACATAGATGATTTTGAAAAAAAAATTTAGTCAATTTGAAGCAAGTTGAAAACAGACCTTTTTGACCTTTTTTGACCTTGAGAAGGTCATTGAAGGTCAAATGTCAAATCTAAAGTCAGATTTGAAGGTCAAATGTCAAATCTAAAGTCAAATCTAAAGTCGGATTTGAATTTCTGAGAACATGTAGATGATTTTGAAAAAAAATTTAGTCAATGTGAAGCAAGTTGAAAAAAGACCTTTTTGACCTTGAGAAGGTCATTGAAGGTCAAATGTCAAATCTAAAGTCAGATTTGAACTTCTGAGAACATGTAGATGATTTAGAAAAAAATTGAAGTCAATCTAAACAGTATTTGTTAAGTTATAGGAAGTTGTAAGAAATTGTTACAGACGCCGGACGCCAACCTCCAACCGCCGGACGCCAACCTCCAACCGCCGTCGCAAAAAAACGGAGACCATAACAATATGTCACCACTTTTGGTGGTGACATAAAAAAAACGGAGACCATAACAATATGTCACCACTTTTGGTGGTGACATAATAAACTAAAACCACCAGTTCTTGTGATAAAATGCAATGTGATTTAATATCTGGATCAGATTTGAGTTAACAGATTTACTGTAAAACCTTTTACTAAATTCAATTGATAATGCATTTCTGACCCTCTTTTGTTCAATGTATACATTATAATCTATGTTCTGTCTTACCTCTTTGCCTTTGCGTCATCAGCCAGTTTTTTATAATTCAACTGGAACATTCCAGAAGGTTCTCCCTCAAATATAACTTCCTCAACCGCTTGTTCAAGTTGTTCACGAGGGATTTCACTCCTTCCACCCTAAATAACATACAGGTCGAATGAAATACCAAAAGAAGACATACAATGTAGGGATTTATACAGGTATACAATGTATGGATTAATACAGGTATACAATGTATGGATTTATTCAGGTATACAATTTCGGAATTTATACAGGTATACAATATCGGAATTTATACAGGTATACAATTTCTAAATTATACAGGTATACAATTTCAGAATCTATACAGGTATACAATGCAGGTAATAAATCTAGTTTTTAGATACTTCAAATAATTGTTCACCTGACATGCTGAGATGAGAAGTCGCTTGAAATCACCACTTGTGTCATCCTCAATGTCATCCTCAAGTCTCGTGCTCTCACGGTTCTTCTTGGCAGCACTCTTACTGGTGACTACAAGCAAATATGGATTATGTTCTTAGTACCCGTACCTCAATTAAAACACCCATTCTGATAAACACACAGAATTGTCAAAGAATGATTCAAACAAATTTCTAAAGCAAGTTGCAACTAATAAGCAGTTACATGTACTTGAGTTTGGGCTTTTGTAGCTGATTGCTTGAGTATTAGTCTAAGAGAATGAGAAGCCCCAGGTTCAATTTCAATATGGGACATTGAATTTGGTTCACAATTTCCAGTTTGTTTCACAATCCACTGGTGGATCTCGGGGGGGGGGGGGGGGCTGGGTGGGCCCAGAAAAAAAAATTGGGCCCAAAAAGATTTTGGGCCAAAAACCCCAAAGTGGGCCTTTTTGGTCATTACTGGGCCTTTCAAGGATTTTTTTTAAAATTTCAGGCCAAATTTTGAAGAAAATGGGCCTCAAAATTTGGGCCCACTTTGGGGTTTTAGGGGCCCAAATTTTTTTTTCGCGCAAGCTCAGAAGTTTTTTTCTCTGACCTGAAAGTTGGGCCCCAACTTCTTGGTTCCCAGATCCGCCCCTGCAATCCATGCAGTAACTTATAGTTTTTCACCATAGACAATCTCAAATCATTAAAATGTTATATTCAAGTCAAGAATAACTCACTGTTAGCAAATTCCTCTGTCATTTCCTTAATCTGTGCATTTGTTCGTGTCATCAAGATCTCAAGGAGGGAAACCTCGTCTGTCCCCAAACCCTATATAATTTATATACAACAACTATAAATAACTACAATAGAATTATTTATTATTTGATCATAAATATGATGCTGTAATCTAAATTATGAATGTAACTACAGTAAAACCTTCCTAATATAATCTGAACATTACTGGGATTGGTCAAAGGTATTCTGAATGGCATGAGAGTCATGGAAGATTACAAAATTGAATCTGAAAGTGTTCATATTGATAGGTGTTTGGATTTCAGAGTTGTTCAGTTATATACAGGTTTTACTGTATTCAAATTACAGTCATACATCTCTTGGACTGTCCTTGCCTCTGTCAAGTATTTACAAAGGCCTCATGCAAAATGAAATGAATATCTTGAAATTCAACACCATAGACATTACGGACTTACATAGATGGATTCTTTGATGCACCAAGCATCGTAAAGGGCAGGACGAATGTACAGCCCCATGATGATCTCCTGGAAGTCACCACTCAGTTCAGAATAAAGCGCCTCAAGTAAGTCCTAAAATGGTAAAATATTATACATTATGGTTTCTAAGAAATGACGCCTTGTATTCAAAAATGAATTATATAAAGTTACACAATTTATGTCCTTTTACATGAGGACAAACACAACTTTACATCAAAAATCTAATTTTAAGCATCCTTGAGGTCGTTTCTCGAAACTTATTGTTATTAACGAATCATTAAAGGAATATTCCTTGCCAAACCATCTCTCTCCTCATATGGTAGCTATAACCATATATATGCTTGCCATGTTTAGCAAAACACGCAAAAATGTTTTGATATGGTCAAATTTGATCACTTAGAAATGTGATACTCAATTCCAGTAAGCTGCCATCTTTTAGAATTTCACACAGGAAGTGATGTCATCGACTCTCAACTTTGCATATAGCATTAGGTGAGGAGCTATTAAGAATTACAAAACCAGCTAAATATTCTTTTTCAACTTTGTATCTTATTAAATCCTTCTGAAAATCTCTTCTTTTATTCTAAGTTGACAAGCCCTGAACATATTTTTGCACAGAAAGTAATGACCACTTGTCTAGAAGTGATTTTGTGCTACTTTCCTATACTGTTATGGGCAAGGTTATAGAAGTTGAGAGTTGATGACATCACTTCCTGCAAGATATCTTAAAAGATGGCAGCTCACTGGAAATAAGCACTAGATTTTTAAATGATCAATATTGACCATATTAAAACATTTTCCCATGTTTTGCTAAATATGGAAATTATATATATGATTATAGCTACCATATCAAGAGAGAAAGGGTCCGGCAAGGAATATTCCTTTAAAAGTGGATCGTGGATTCGTTTCTATGGACACCGTATCGTTAATGGAATAACAAGACCCCCATTCGAAATCGTAAAATCAATCATAGATAACGAATATATTGTTAAAAATCATGACATCATAGCTAATCATTAACTTTCGAGAAATGGAAAAATTGTTTGTAACAATTGAATTAACAATTCGTTAATAACGAAAAACTTTCGAGAAATGGCCTCTGGCTCTTTAAAGAGAATGCATGGTTCCACTTACTTTAGAGAAAGCAATTTTGTAATATTTTTTCAACTCCTGACGCTGAGCATTACATCTTGTAGTTGAAACCAAGATAATCGCATCATCATTTGTGCCTGAAAATCACATAAAATTATTATACTCTGTTAATTATCATGGTATACAAGACAAAACATAATTATTATTAAATAGATTCATGTTTCTTTACATGATGTAATCATGGGGTTTCAATAGTGAAAGCCCATGGTGTAATGTAAAGTATTTGTATGTTTTTCCTCCACAGTCCACTTATGCATTCTGACAGACAATTGAATTATCAAAAACATGTAAATGTTTCACGAGGTAATTCTTTTGTTTTAGCACAATCACCCATACAGTAAAACATGTAAGTGGAACGGCTTTCGTGCCTCAAAACTGTATTCAACTTGGGAGCTGTTTCATTTACAGAGGTTCATTTTATATCAAATTAATGGGTAACTTCCACTTATGGCAGGTGTTTCCACTTGGCAGGTATTCCACCTAACATGTTTTACTGTACATGTATAAACTCTCTTATCCTACTACGAGAGTGTGTCAGTTTGATGACACTGAATTTGACTCACCACAACCATCCATGGCCTCATTTAGGTACATACAGTCCACCTCTGCACTCCACTTATTTCCAGTGATGTCCTCTGGAACTGGTCGGCTTGCCATGTATTGAGTCACTGGGTCATCTGCCGTGTACTGCAGGAATGGCTTCACCGTACCCTCTGTGATGTCAAATGTACCATTCACCTGAACAGAAGAGTAAAAACTTATTAAAAAATCTATTTCTTAATGAAACAAGAAAAAAGATTAGAGGAGATAACTCTGCAGTCTGCAAATGTCACTACCTGCCATTTGTTACATATGTGGAACTCCACCCACCATCAACAAAAATAGTTTGAGACTATAACAGTATATCACCACTTCTGGTGATGACATAAAAATCCTATGAATGGTGATATCAAAAGAGTGTATTTCATATTCAGTGATGTCACACTCCATGTGCAGAGCAAACATGACTGTTATACTGGGCTATCTATACATACCTCTTGACGTCTCATCAGCTCATTTACAAGTTTATTCTTGATCTGCAGTTTCTTCTCTGGATCATCCTTCAGTTTCTGCTGTAGCTCCTTTAACTTTTCCTACAAAGTAATTGTATGAATAATATTTTATATAATGCACATGATACATCTTTACTTGTATAATACATGTATACTTGTAAACTAAAGTACAAAGCCCTTAAATTTCGAGAAACATTTTTAACATACAGTGTACATGAATGTTAGAGGGTACAGTGAGAATACATGATTATTAGGATCCTCAGGGAGATATAGACATTTCTCCAAGAATAAAACTTTATCCAACCCCCCCCCCCCCGTATGAAACCCTTATATATGTATACCATGGTCACATTGGTTTGTGTATACGACTCATGCTGTAATAATTTCAAGAACCATATGAAAATAAATCATATGTGGGTTCATTCATATTTCTTAAGTACCATTTCTTTCTTAAATTCCTCCTCCATTTCTTTCTTCATTGCCTCCATAGCAGCTTTGTCATCTTCTTCCTCTTCTTCTTCTTCCTCTTCTTCTTCAGAATCCTCATAGTCATCATCACGGTTCTTGCGGTTGCGTCGACGGTAGGGTGGCTCAAAATAATTTTATTTTGGAAATGTTATGCTCCCTACGTGAATCGAGTTGCATTTTGGGGTAAATATCACCTGTGATTTTTTTCAAATTTTTTAGTCAACTTTTAGGGGTCCCCCACAGCCTTTGAAGTTTGCCCGTAGGCTTAACATTAGTGGGCGTCGCCCAAAATCGTACTTTGTTGAAGTTTTGTTCTAGAGTGATTTATAAATGTTGTTTGAAGAAAAACAACATTGTATATGATATGATTAGATGTTTAAATCATCATATTACTCTGTTTCATCATATGAACTTATATAAAAGGTTATACTTACAATATCCTATTAACAAAATATTAGGTACATTCGACCAATATAATTATTTGAACAAGTACAGTTTTAGAGAATCATGTCTCATATATGATTTGGTATTGTCATTATAATGGTTTAAACTGTAAAAGGTATATTCATTCTTGACATTTAATGTTTTTAACATGATTCAGACCAGATTTTCTTATATGTGACACTCGTCCTCTATGATCTGAGCGTACAACACATACATTGTCACGATGCGCCGTGTCACAGGTCATTTGAGATATTCCTGCTGATGATACCAAAACTTGAGACCGTGAAGAGGTGCTGTGGTTGTCAAGGGGGCACTTAGGATTAAATACCATCCGTGGAGACAGACCACAAATCCCACAAGTTGTGTTATCCTCTGCAGTTGCTGTGGAGTAAGTTGGACAAATAAGTGGCTGAGCATGAATATCTTCAAGAGGTAGAGACTCTTCCCCATGAACCTGGCATGGTGGTAGGCTCCAGGTTGGTCACAGCTCTTCGCAGTGTAAGACAGAGCAAGAGAGGAGAAGCAGGAGCTTGCTACAGCACTGCTCAACATCCCACTGCCTGTACAATTTGCAACTGGCAAACCAGGACAGCCTGAATTCAACCCAAATCCTGCTCACTTAGGCAATGTTAAACTATCACTAGCAATGTTTGTAACTGAGAGATCTTGGCTCTTATCGTGACAATGTATGTGTTGTATGCTCAGAGCAACTTATGTTCAAACCCAGAATTTCTGTCAAGACCTGCATTCTGTTAATGATCCAGCTGAACTAGCAGTGAAGCTGGTACAGGAACGCTCTCAAATGACCCTTGACGTGGCGCATCGTGACAATGTATGTGTTGTACGCTCAGATCATAGAGGAAGAGTGTCACATATAAGAAAATCTGATCTGAACCATGTTTAAAACATTAAATGTCAAGAATGAATATACCTTTTACATTTTAAACCATTATAATAAGAATACCAAATCATATATGAGACATGATTCTCAAAAACTGTACTTGTTCAAATAATTATACTGGTCGAATGTACCTGATATTTTGTTAATAGGATATTGTAAGTATAACCTTTTATATAAGTTCCCATGATGAAACAGAGTAATATGATGATTTAAACATCTAATCATATCATATAAAATGTTGCTTTTCTTCAAACAACATAAATAAATCACTCTAGAAGAAAACTTCTACAAAGTACGATTTTGGGCGACGCCCACTAATGTTAAGCCTATGGGCAAACTTCAAAGGCTGTGGGGGACCCCTAAAAGTTGACTAAAAAATTTGAAAAAAATCACAGATGATATTTACCCCAAAATGCAACTCGATTTACGTAGGGAGCATAACATTTCCAAAAAAAAATTATTTTGAGCCACCCTAGTCGACGGTTACGGCGATTCTATTTTTAAACAAATACAAATTTATTTATTCATTTGTCACATTACAGGTATAAATACTCTATTGATTTTGACTGTTCCATGTGTACATGTGTCGAACAATGGGCAATTAATTGTACTCTTTTAAAAAGTTAAGGCACATCTCTTTCATAAACAAATTCAAAGTACAAAACTACATGTATCTGTGTTTTCTGTGTTTTTCAGGTCATAGAAAAACCAAAAAACAGAACCTTCAAATGTCCAGATATGTGTAACATGTTTAACCTGATATATTCATCCTAGGTATGGCCTAAGGTCCTTTACAGTTTTTATGTTCATGTACTTACCATCTTTCTCTGACGCTTTCTCATTCTTTCTTTCTTCTCCCGAATTTCATCTTCATCTATCAGTCCCTCCTGAAAATGGTTGTATCATACAATGGTGTAAAATACAATGGTTGAATCATACAATGGTTGTATCATACAATGGTTGTAAAATACAATGGCTGTATCATACAAGGTTGTAAATGCAATGACTGTATCATACAATGGCTGTATCATACATTGGTTGTAAAATACAATGGCTGTATCATACAATGGTTGTAAAATACAATGGTTGTATCATACAATGGTTGTAAATACAATGGTTGTAAACACAATGGCTGAATCATACAATGGTTGTAAATACGCTGTATCATACAATGGTTGTAAATACAATGGCTGTATCATACAATTGTTGTAAATACAATGGTTGTATCATACAATGGTAGTACAACACAATGGTTGTAAAATACAATAGTTGTATAATATAATGATTGTAGAAAAGAATGCATGTAGAATACAGTGGTTGTCACAGAGATACAATGAAAAGATCAAATTGAAAAATATATGCTTATTTGTTTTTGATATTACATTTATAGTTACTGTTTAGTAGATTAGTGAGCCTACCTCAGCCATCATCATTTCCTGCATCTGCCTCATGGCGCCCATACTCATGTTCTGCTGCATGTGATTCATGTGCATGGATGGTGGAGGTTGTCTTTGCTGGGGTTGCTATGGATGGAAAATATAGAGAATTTGTGTTAAATCCAGTCTTTGTCTAATCCTTGAATCCCTGTGTTACTGAACTGACAAGTCACTATCCTACCCCCAAAATCAAGTCCCCATATTAAACTCAACATTAAATCATTTTTCCACTCATGATATTTAAATACATATTTCGGTTTTGGTAAGATCCAAAGCATTTGGACTGAATACAACACACCACACAGTTGACCTTTGCTTTTTCTGTTTTCAGGTGGAGAAACCACAAGGGGCTGCAATTTTCAATTTAAGATTCCAAGATTGTAATGAATTATACACAGTTTGTTGCTCAATACTCAATACGTATCTTTTGGCATCCATTTTGCAATATTTTTCTTCAAATTCACTTTTTCTCCATTCGTAAAAAAAATTTAGTTAATAATGATGTAGACAACCGCCATATTGTAAAAAACACACCTGTTGATACTATTGGCCATAGTTGATGATGACATCATCAATTAATTGTGACATCAAAGTATTGTTGCAGCAATGGTTAATTTGGTTAGTAATGCAGCAGAAATAATGAAAATAAAGCAATTAGAATTCAAAAAATTGTTTATATTGTACCTCAAGATGAAAAAAATAAATGAATCTATACATCAACTTATGATTTATGTTAAATATTATTTTCATGCCATAAAACAAGATAAAAATTATAATTAAAGATTAAACCTACATGATAAATATTAACACTGGTGATCCATTCGATTACGCTGCAGGTTAAAAGTGCAGATTTTGACCGTTTTTCGAAAAACCGTTTATGTAACTTAAGTGAAGAATTAAATCGACGATTCTGTTGTCTTCAGAACTATTTGTTCGCCCATATGTACATTTTCTTAAACATATTATACTGATACACGTTTGTGTTAAAAAATGTCGGGGAATTCTGCCTACAACCATGGGCTTTCAACTAGAAGCCCATGCTACAACGTATGAAATAAGAAAAAGAGAAAAAATCGTACCTTCAGCGTTCCGACATTTTGTTACCAAAACGAAGCGTAATCAAGTGGATCACCAGTGATTAAGTATGTTAATCCCAGACTAAATTAAACTTGGTGCATTTAAGAGTGTGGTGAAATCTTGAGAAATGTGGAATGGGAATGAAGGAGGATTGATATTGATCTGAATACATAGAAATAAAAAACACATGAGAAATCAATTTAGAAACAAATCATGCAGATTTCATTCATTAGAGCTTTTTTATAAAAATGATGGTCAGTTTTCAATCCAATAATACCAAATGATATCTTTATGTTCTATAATAGTATATAATGGGGAAAGATGTAAAAACAAACATAGAAAATAAGGTAAAATTTGCTTGCATGCCATTATAATAAGAATAGGGTAAGTCAGTCAATAAAATGATTTTAAAAAAGAATAAGGGGTTCATAAAAAGATTCGAAAGAAGATGCATCTCTGTCAAAATAAATTAGAATTATTGAATATATTCCATCAAGACAGCACATGTCTTACTCTTGAACTTACACTGAGGGAGCATAATGCCAAACTTAATCATTCTAAATAATTATGAAGCATATAAATTCATCAATGAAAACTGTAAGATAATGAATCATAGAGAGAGGCAAATGTAAAAAGACAATTAGAAAATGGATGAAGATTTCTAAGTCTTGCATCCCTATCTGCTTGGGGGAGTCAAAGGGGGTAGAAGCTACAACGAGATAGGAATTCCTTGATTTCAATATTGCATGCTTTGCAAAATCCAACTTTCAGAACTGCTATACCTACCAATGATGGACTCTGATAACCATGGTGATGAGGGGAATGGGTATTACCATAGGGGGAGAAGTGAGAAGTGGTAGACTGACCATAAGCAGGCTGTGTTAGAAAATATGGTAAGTAACATTTCACTTCTCAAAATATTAAAAGGAATTGAAAAATTAGTATGCAATAAAATGGATTTATTTATTTAATATGCTTAAAAGCCCCACATAAAGTTTAAACCACTTTTGCTTATATTGTAGTCTTACCCGATTTTATCAAAATGTAATATGTGGAACTTTTTTTTAATTTCGAAAAATGTTTTTGAAGGACCACCACAGGGGTTTAAAATATATATAAGCAAAACATGATGACATGAAATATAACTAAACTAAATTTTCTATTCTAAAAAAGGCAAGATCGTTTTTACCATACCTGTTGGTGTCCACCATATCCCTGCTGCTGATACTGTGTTAATAAGAAAACATTTAATCATATTACAGAAAATCTCTCAAAACATCAAAGTACATCCATTTAAAACTGTGCAACAAACTGTGATTATTTTTTTAAAAATGGTTACTTCTGTCACAACAAACTCAAAAACAAACTGTCTTGCAAACTTAATAATTTCTTATTTTTATCTTACATGTTGCTGTCCTCCATATTGCTGTTGACATTGCTGCACAGCAGGTACAGTGAACCCTGGGACAGCACCTCCTCCACCATAGCCTCCCATACCACCATACATACCTCCACCATAACCTCCTGAAGCATAAGACACAAATATATCTACCTATCTGTAAATATATTCAACCTTTCTGTAAATATATTTAACCTTTCTGTATATATATCAACCTCTCTGTTAATGTAACAACCTTTCTGTAAACATATCAACCTCTATGTAAATAAATCAACCTTTTTGTGAATACATGTACATCAACCATTGAATATATTCACCAGCTCTGTTAAGGTATCCTTCCCTCCTTTGTAAATGTATCACTGCAACGCTTTTGTAAATATACCCATCCCTCTGTAATTAAATACTTTCCTTTGTAAATGTATCCATGCTTTAACTGCAAATATATCCAACCCTCTGTTTGTAATTTATACCCCTGTAAATGTACCCATCCCTCTATTGATACTATCTCTAAGAAAATGCACCCATGCATCAGTAAATATATCATATGTGATATGATATTTGGATATCATTTAAAAAGTAAAAAAAATGTGTATTTACACAGTTAAGGCGACACCAAGATTTAAACCAGGGACCTATCGATCTGCAGTCGATTGCTCTACCACTGAGCTATATCTCCTACATATCTAAATGCGCTCAATAGCAGTATCAAAGTCTGATAAAGCAAATACATTAGAAAAGGAAAATGTGTAAATCTTGAATATTAAAATACAAAATAATTGAGGAGACACCCGGATTTGAACCAGGGACCTATCGATCTGCAGTCGATTGCTCTACCACTGAGCTATATCTCCTACATATCTAAATGCGCTCAATAGCAGTATCAAAGTCTGATAAAGCAAATACATTAGAAAAGGAAAATGTGTAAATCTTGAATATTAAAATACAAAATAATTGAGGAGACACCCGGATTTGAACCAGGGACCTATCGATCTGCAGTCGATTGCTCTACCACTGAGCTATATCTCCTACATATCTAAATGCGCTCAATAGCAGTATAAAGCTGATAAAGCAAATACATCAGAAAAGGAAAATGTGTAAATCTTGAATATTAAAATACACAATGATTGAGGAGACACCCGGATTTGAACCAGGGACCTATCGATCTGCAGTCGATTGCTCTACCACTGAGCTATATCTCCTACATATCTAAATGCGCTCAATAGCAGTATAAAGCTGATAAAGCAAATACATTAGAAAAGGAAAATATGTAAATCTTGAATATTAAAATACAAAATGATTGAGGAGACACCCGGATTTGAACCAGGGACCTATCGATCTGCAGTCGATTGCTCTACCACTGAGCTATATCTCCTTCATGTATAATGAAAGTGAAAATGATGTTCATGTTAGAAACTTAATTAATTTGATTCTTAATTGCTTGAAAATAAATCACATCTGTCAGTTTACATGTAACAGCTGTTGGCAATACATCAGTCTTCTATTGTTTTTGACAAGAGCAAACAAACAAGCAATCAATCAATATCATATACCAGTCAACACAAATTTGATAACTCAGACGTGTTTTTATTATATGACATTTATGAAATCATAATAAATAATCCAAAGAACAGGCCTTTTATATTGACAGCTTAACAGCTGAAAACTGTTATACAGCTGCATCGGATGTAAATTATTATAAAAAGTGAGATATTCATGTATAAATACACACAATTGTAAGAAAGAAATGTTATGTTGAGCATCTCAGAGTTAACAACACTCGCTCTTAATTATAATGTGTGAATCATATCATTCACAGGAATGGGCCATAAAGGCAATAGAGATAGATGTTTTCAAGAGATGATGAAATCAAAGGCTCCAATGTATGCTACAAGCTCAACCTTCATATCAGAAGGTGTTTTAACAATGTTAAGTAGGTTTTCATTGGAAATAGAATGTCTGTCACTGTTTGAATTTAAATATGCCTTAATTACAAGTTAAAATTGACGAACTTTTTAAATCACCAATCATAGACAGGATTTGATCAAAAAAGGGACCTCCAATTGCCAAACTTATGCAGGGGAGTGAAGTATTGATTGTAATTAATGACTTACCCATTCCACCTGTTGTGTAGTTGTTAACATTGTAGGCACTACCACCACCATAACCGCCACCGTAGCCGCCACCATAGCCGCCACCACCATAATTGGTAGGTGGGTAGTTACTGCCACCTCCCCCTGGGGGTGGGGGTGGACCGCTGTTGGGTGGGTACTATAACAAGAACAAGACATTGTACTAAGTACTTTAAGTACATTTTTGATTATAAACTTAGGCCTCTGAAATATGTTTGTAATTTTTTTTAATTCTGTTCATAAATTCTTTTGTTTACTTGTTATTAGTCAGATTTTTATAGATATAATTGTAAACCCAACAGGTGGCGAGTTTATTGGAAAGGTCTTTTACTTGTAAGTAAAATAGATAACATTGTTAAAGAGATGCCCTTGTAATAATAAATAGGACAATTGACTCTTACCTCAAATAACAGGGAGATTACATGATAATATAAACAAAATCCAATGCTTCAGTATGAGAGCCTCTCAAGAAATATTCAATAAAACAGTAAAAGTTGCATAATTGTTGTTATGTTTAAAATATGATTCATAGGACTAAAAAATTCCCACAAAATATAATCTGAGCATCTCTTTAAATACTCATTTACTAAATGTAGTAACTATTTTCTGGCAATTCGGATATCAAAAAATTGTACTTACAGCATACATCTTCTCTTCTCAGTTTAGTTTCCTACACTTGACTTCTAAAATAAAAATAAACTGATGTGCAAAATCTGATTTTTTTAAATCAAAAATTATTGAATCATTTCAGCTGTGAGCAATTTAAAATAGTGCAATTTGTACGTGAATGTGTTAATAATGATTCTGGGTATCCAAGGAGTGAACATTGGATTATCAAAATCTCTCTTTACAAAAGTGATTATCAAATAGACAAATAAAGACAGACATCAATTTCCTCTTATTTCTATTTGTATAAATCTTATATTATATCTGATAGTATCGTAATAGTAATATGTTAATATCAGTTACAATATACATTAATTTTCATTTTCATTTTTCCTGAGTCTATGTGAATATGAGCTGTTTTCTTTTTGTTTAGTTTTACAATACTACAGTTCAGACTTGAAGCAGCCTTTTTGAAAAAAGAAGCTTGTGGGGACAATTCAAGTTCTTGAAAGTATGCATTTATTAGGAGCAATAAAGACTTGATGGATCTTCTAAGAAAATGGGGATGAAAGTGGATGACAAGAGGAAAAGATATTGTACAATTGATTTTTGTATTTAAAATTCTTTTTTCAGGTATTTTAAAAAATTACATCAATTATAAGCAAAATATCACAAGTTGAAAGATGCATTATATAACATGCATAATAATGTTGTCAAATTTTTATAAAGTTACTTTCAACATGTCTTTTGTTGCCCCTTTAATGAAATGTTGAAATCTCATCACTCTGGATAGTCAATAGGTTAATAAGATGTAGAAATTACTAGGAGAAAATAACTGGATATACAAGGGCCGATCCAGAAGTCCTGATAAAAATGCTGCAACTTAAAAGTTTATCATTCATTTTGCAAAATATTTTCAGAGTAACTGGATGTTGGTAACAAATATTTCTGAAGTTATGGTTGCTATTGCAGCCTCAATAACACTATAGCGGGACAGGGTAATGATTGCGAAGTTTAAAATTAGTTTTCCTTTGAATAAATGATAAAAATTCCATTCCAAGGTTGCTTAATTCTACAAATGGCTGTTTTAATAGTAACTGCTATTTGTGTCCTATTCTCAAAAGTGTGGAATCATTGTAAATATTGTATTATACAGAAAACATGAACGCCTCATAATACATTAGACAAGACATGAGACAATAAGCTTTCAGTTCACCTAAGTAAAGCAATGCGTAAAAAGCGACTCAACAGAGCCATAGATTTAAACATGTTTGACTAGGACAACACATCATGTCACAAATCTGGCATGGTCTACAATATTATCAGCAACAACATAAATATGGAAGTATTAAGACAGTAATAGGACAGCCTCGCTGTAGTGGCTTTAAGCCTTTGGATTCAAGGGTCCTAGTCCTCCAAGGTTCGATTCCCGCACTGGGCATTGAATTTAGCACACTTGCTTTCATGTCTGTATCTGGTTTGATACACTATGCTCATTAGTTCCCCTGGGGCGCTCTTGGGTCATTAGTCATTACACAACAAATGTAAGCTATCATTCAGAAATCTTTGGAGATTTTAGCAATACTTCATGAATTTGCGTCAAAACTGCCATTTTTTTACTCTGTACAAAATATCTACTCGATCAGTCAATGTCCCGATCAGCACTGAGCAACTGATAACTTACAGACTTTCTCAAACGGGAGGACTTTGGTGTAGGAAACATTTAGAAATATAAAGTAAGCAGCTGATTCATTTTTTCACCTTTAGCCTTTACGATCAGAAAGAGGTAAGCCTATGCAATGATCATAAGCCTAGTCTTGGCCTATAGGCCTTGACATCTAAGCTATATAGTCTATCTATTTTTGCAAAAAAATTCGGCTGAGGCGACGGTTCGAAATGATTTGTTACTTAAGATTTTCGACATCTAAAATGTCACTCGACTTTTTTGTGATTTTGAATCACAGAAAGCATTCTGAAGGAGGAGACACCCGGATTTGAACCAGGGACCTATCGATCTGCAGTCGATTGCTCTACCACTGAGCTATATCTCCTACATATCTAAATGCGCTCAATAGCAGTATCAAGCTATGATAAAGTAAATACATTAGAAAAGGAAAATATGTAAATCTTGAAATACAAAATGATTGAGGAGACACCCGGATTTGAACCAGGGACCTATCGATCTGCAGTCGATTGCTCGACTATTAATACAGATTTTTTTTTAAATGTCCCTTTTCTAATCAACCGGATGTGCGGTTTACTTGGACTCGCAAAATGGTAGAGATGAAGACATGTCGCAAAAGGGTAGAGATGAAGACATGTCACCACTCATAGAGAAAAACAAAAGCTCCGTAGAGAATTTTCGATTGAAATGTTGAAAAGCAAGCCCAGTTTTCTATGGGAATATACCGAAATTAATAGTTACGTGTACAATATTACCGAGTTCAATGGTGCATAAGTTAGGCGGTGGATCATTTTGTAAGTACGACAATGTGAATTCATGCAACTGTTACTTTTTGGAAGGTTTTTTGCAAAAAAGTCGAGTGAATTTTTAGATGTTGAAAATCTTATGTGATTCCAACTTTTAACTGATAGACTAACTCTATTTTCAACGATTTTATGATTTTAAGAAAATAAAAATGTAATTCTACAAGTACAGTATCGTCTATTGATGAATATAACTCAGAGGTACCTGGAAACGGTAAATAAACTTACTGTCAAAATATTCAGCAACATCAACAAATATGCATGGAGATGACCTTGATGACACGCCACATAAAAATTTATGGTTTGCATCAAAATAGCGAACGATAAGATATTCATTTTCGTTCGCACTGTAATTTACAATTTGAACGAATTTTTCTCTCATTTTCCTTCATCTATTCTTAAAGATATGCTATACAGATATGTAGGTCAGTATTACATAATCGTGAAATGAATAAGTCTGAATATATCATTGGTCAGAAAACACTAAAACCTGCTTGAAACTGTAAAAGTTTATACACTCTATTCCACACTGTATAGAAATAAAATAGCTTACACTATAAGTAACTGTGAGCCAATCATTGCATAGAAAAAACTTTATGCACTGTTTATAAGATTCACTGAGACAAGTGGGTCAATACTTCGTGTACTTTATGTGCTCTCACACAATTACCTTCCCTTGCATAAAGTTGCTGTACAGTTATATGTAACTGAATATTGTATATTCATCACAAACAACCTTAGCAAAATGATGGTTCGACGAAACGGACGGTTCGCTAAAACCAATAAACCAGGCAATTCAGGCCAATTTGGAAAGAAACTAGATAGCGTGATAGCGAATGAGGATAGTAAGTGAAATATATTTTGCAAAGGTCAGCTTGTAAACTACTGGGTAACCCTAAATGATGAGAAATATGTTCAAAATATGTTTTGCATGATTTATTCATATCCCAATGATTTAACTCCTTCACTGCATCTAATAAGGTATATAGATACTAATTACGGGACATTTAGGAATTAAGTGACTAGACCAAAGCAAGCATGTTTGAGATTTTAATGATTTTAAATAAATTACCATTTCATTATTTGCTTTTAGACATTCAATCAGTTTTATTTGTCCAACAAACCATATTCACAAATTGTTCAATCCAACGAAGATTAGGGGATAAGCTAAGAGACCCCTCCATTTGTCCGTCCATCCATCCTTCAACTAGACAACAGCAACACCAAAGTGTAGCAAATCCCATCGAACAGCCATGGCTGGCATTTTTTTACAAACAAAGTATACAGCAAAAATGGCAGCCATTTTTCAAAATGGCCACCTTCTACCAAAAGTGTCATTAGACAGTGTGCCACGCTTATAGTATTCACGCATCAAATATGAACAAAATCGCTCTACTACTTTTCGAGTTATAGTAAAATACGTTAAAATGACGGCCATTTTTCAAAATGGCTGCCTTCTACCTAAAGTGTCATTAGACAGTGTGCCATGCTTATAGTATTCATATACCAAATATGAACAAAATCGCTCGACTACTTTTCGAGTTACAGCAAAAATCGTAAAATAACGAGTAAAGGCCGCCATAGTTCAATTCTTTGAAGCAAATGATTCTAAAAGTACAACATATCTTTGAAAAAATATCATTCTGTTAAGTGAAATTGTAAAAAATATTTTGCAGTGTGTGAAATTGAATTAAAGCACATGATTCAATGAATAGTGGATGCTTCAATTCACTTATGTCTTCTAGTCTAGGCTTTGAATTTGGACTACCACCCTCGTTCATAGTCTAGAATCAGGACATATGTTAAATTTAATCATCTACAATGCATTGAGTCATTGGCTTAAATCCTATAATATAATATGCCTATCAATATAATATATAATTATTTAAGTATCATCTCAATGCCTTAATTTTAATAGAATTATTTTAATATTTTACTAACTGTATTATATGTAGTTTGCATTACTGTTGATAAATAAATAAATGATTGCACTGTTCAGTAAAGAAATATAGCAATTGTATTATTTAAACTGACTATACACTATAGAAATGATTTTCATTGAAAAATCAAATCAGTACCAAAATTATGGTTACCCTGTAGTAGTGAAAGGCACATTAGAAATGAATATCACCCCCTTCAATCTATTTTTACAGGTTTTTATGATTATTTCAGATTTTTCTATAGTTTGCGTAATCAGGACGGTGAATTTTCTTCATTTTTCATCAAACATTTCGTCTTACCAATATTTATTATATCTGTCAATTTTATCAAAATCGCGCCGCTACGTTTGAAAATAATTCAAATTATGTAGTTTTTCCCATTGAGCTCCATTATAAAAATGGAATTTTCAAACTTAATATTTTAAAATTCTACGTGGTGAAAAGTTGCATATTGAGTAGTTAGTTAATGTTATGGTGTTAAAAATTCAAAACAAAAAGGAATAAAGAAAAAATGCCACAGAGCAGTCTCAATAGAGTATCTTTAAATTGATATTATCCAGAAAACGAAGTATTCTGTTGGGTCCACATCTATAGAAAAAGGCAAAAAAGTACGCCCAACGTGGGGCTCGAACCCACGACCCTGGGATTAAGAGTCCCATGCTCTACCGACTGAGCTAGCCGGGCAGATGAAGAACAATGTAAATACAGTTTTAGAAAAAACAAGGATTCATTTGAGATTATACATTATACATAGATCATTCCATTGTTTGAACAGTGATCATGGATCTTAAAGAACGAATGGCTACACTGTCCCATTTAGACCGTTCCGTATTAGTGGTCGTGTTGTCATAATACAGAATAAATCATACCATTTCATGAAAAATGGTGACCTTGTCCTACGGTAATTGAGATTATGTTTCACAGCAAGTTTGCATGGCGATACTGTATAGCACATGCTCTGGGGAATTGATTCTACTTTCTATAGACACCAATCACATCTCTCTCGATAGAATAATAAAAAAGTCTTAGGGTCCTAACCTCCTTTGTTTATATTTACAAAAACGTGAAAAATTACAAAAGTTGTTATAACTTTTTAAATCTTAAACTCTTGAAACCGATTTCACTTGCCAGCGACAGATACTTTAGTCGTTGACGAACCGAACATGTCAGTTTGGTTCGATCTCCAAATAAACGATTTCAACATTTTAAAAAGCTCGATGCTAGTCCACGTGTTATGAAATGGTATGATTTATTCCGTATTAATGTCAACAAAACCACTAATACGGAACGGTCTAAACGACACCGTGGCTATAGACACCCCCGATCACTTAACATTTTTGAAAAAATGCATTGTCGTTAATTCCTTGATATCTAGGATCAAATTGTTGAAAAATATGTATATTTTTAAGAAATAGCAATAAAAAGCATTCAAAATCTCATCTACACTTTTAAAAATTAAAGTACAACAGTTATGTAAAGTACAGAGTAACCTTCTAGAAATTATTATATTCTATGTGTTTTCAAATGTTGCCCTTTGTGCTTCCTCACTGTGATGTGAAATAATAAATTCAGTATTTTACTGCCACTTTAATGCAAACTGTATATGAGCAATTGATCTCAAGAAAACAGATCAATATATAATCGATTGATATGCATTTTTGACTTGTTAATTACTTCATGTGTTTTTTAATATTGCTCTTTGTTCTTTCTCATTGTGATGTTAATTAATAAACTCAATATTCTTTTCTGACACATTTCTGACACATCTCATTGAAGTATAAAGAAGATCATTAGTCAAAAATTTTTGAATTTTTACATGTTATATTTTATGTGTTTTTCAATGTTGCCCATTATGCTTTGTCACTATTCACCAAGAAGATCAATTAAAAAAGTCTAAAACGACTGAAAATAATGATTACTTTGATAATAAATAGAAACAGTGACAATAATGATGTAAACAGAGTCATATTTCCTTCAAAAGGCCATTTTATACCGTTAATAGAATTACCTATATTTTGAAATATAAAGGTCAGAATGACCTAATTTTGGGATCTGGTTATCAAACGAAGTCCTTTTTTGATATCCTGTACAATTTCTTTTAATATCTTGGGGGCTGATAAAGGGTCTTAAAGACACCCGTCCTTTTAATACCGCTTTGTGCACGGACTTGGGTCAACGTTTCTTTCGAACCTTACTGCCATATAACTATATAAAATTTGTGCTTTGTGCTTGTAAAAGATCTTACTTAGGTAAACGATTAATAAGGTCTCTTCTCACGAAATTGAGCTTCAATTAACACCCCCCCCCCCTCCCCCAACAAGAGGTGGAATTTTCTTAAAATTGAAAAATGAGTACAGTCTGTTATCAATCATTTGATCATTAACATAATGTGACGTCATGGATGCACCATTGCATAATCTCAATACAATGAGATATCATTATAGACAGAATTGAATATCAAATAATTAAATACATTTTAATCTATATACACTTTACTTCCTGCGAAAGCTATTTGGATTTTGATATAATAGCTTTCCCACGGAGCATTTGGACAGCTGAACGATTGTGACCTTTGAAATCGAATTAAGTCGATCCGCGGCTTACTTTTGGTCTTTAACTGTGTTTTACATCAGTATCATCAATCCGTGTAAGTATTAGAGCGCTGAAATACTTCTTTTTCGATCAAGACTTGTAAATTGTTCATCGAGTGAATGTTTTTGAGACCTATTTCCAATATCGCGGTTTGCTAGGAGCGAGATACGCAACGAACGAAATGAATTTTGAGAATTAGTTAGGTTCGGACAACCTCCGGAGATTTACGAAAATGTCCGAGCAGAAAACGCCATATTGGAATTTGGCAGTAAAAACATTCACTCGACTAACAATTACAAGTCTTGTTCGAAAAGGAAGTACTTCAGCGCTCCAATACTTACACGGATTGATGATACTGATGTAAGTCACAGTTAGAGACCAAAAGTAAGCCGCGGATCGACTTAATTCGATTTCAAAGGTCACTATTAATCGGTAGACTGTAAATCTCGTAAATCTAGTAAATCTAGTAAATCTAGTAAAATCTTGTAAAATCTTGTAAACTTTTTAGGGACCATTCATTTGATATCAATGTCAGTCTCAATGAAGAGTATTGGTGATTATGATTCCTTTTACAACATTAGAAAAATACCTTCTCTGCATTAAAATTCAGAGTCATTCCTTTCATCAAATAATCAATTTTTAACAAAATTGTGAAATATTATAATAAAAAAGAATGTTTAAGGGGCTGATATGATATGGCTTTAAACTATTAATTACAAGGAATACAAGGAACATATCATCATCAAAACGTAAATGGAAAGCATTGTAGAAATGTCATACTATACTTTATGTATAGGTAAAGCAAATAGATCAATCAGTAAGTTGTCTCACTCTTCCCCTTACTACAGCATTTGATTGTTTTTATTATTTTTGGGGGTTGGCAAAAATCAATTTTGAAATTGCCATTTATCCATTCCTCTCATATTGGAACTTCTACAAATATTGTCAATTGAACAGCATCGCCAAAAATAAGCAATAACTAAATTATCTGATAGGCTAAGCATTATAACATTTTGTGAGGGGAAAACAAGCCTGTGTCATTGGTAGACTGTAAATCTAGTAAATCTAGTAAATCTCGTAAATCTCGTAAATCTAGTAAATCTAGTAAAATCTTGTAAAATCTTGTAAACTTTTTAGGGACCATTCATTTGATATCAATGTCAGTCTCTATGAAGAGTACTGGTGATTATGATTCCTTTTACAGCATTAGAAAAATACCTTCTCTGCATTAAAATTCAGAGTCATTCCTTTCATCAAATAATCAATATACAAATTTTTTAACAAAATTGTGAACTATTATAATAAAAAAGAATGTTTAAGGGGCTGATATGATATGGCTTTAAACTATTAATTACAAGGAATACAATGAACATATCATCATCAAAACGTAAATGGAAAGCATTGTAGAAATGTCATACTATACTTTATGTATAGGTAAAGCAAATAGATCAATCAGTAAGTTGTCTCACTCTTCCCCTTCCTACAGCATTTGATTGTTTTTATTATTTTGGGGGGTTGGCAAAAATCAATTTTGAAATTGCCATTTATCCATTCCTCTAACATTGGAACTTCTACAAATATTGTCAATTGAACAGCATCGCCAAAAAATAAGCAATAACTAAATTATCTGATAGGCTAAGCATTATAACATTTTGTGAGGGAAAAACAAGCCTGTGTCATTTAGATGGTACGCATTGTCTCCCCAGTCCTTAAATGTGTGGCTTAATTTGTTAATAGAGCATGCTTCTTGGGTGGGTTGTGTATGATGATAAAATGGGTGTACCATTTGATAACCATTTTGTTATCCAGGACTAACATATAGTTGTTTTGTAACTAAATATAATGAAATAAAAAGGTAGAATTTTTTCTACATGTTCATTTCATTCATACAAAGGCATTTTCAGTGCTTTTTCGACATTTGCACTTTATATCTTAGACATTGAATAATCAAGTTTTTACAAGATTTTACAAGATTTTACTAGATTTACTAGATTTACTAGTTTTACTAGATTTACTAGATTTACAGTCTACCCTATTAATCAGCTGTTCTTTTCCCCGTCTGAGAGCCATAATTTTCAAAATCTAACATGGCTCTCGATTTTTAAGACTTATTACAAACAGTGCTACAACAGACATTTCCTCTCCATAATTTAAGAAAAACAAACATACTTTAGAAGATATTCACAAGCTTTGTATTTAATTGTCTCAAACGACCAAAAGAATTTCCTCAAACATTATTCTGTGACTACTTCATATCAAATGCTCAAACTCATGGACAAGGGACAAGTTAAAGATTCAATCTTGGATCTAATCAATTTAAATCCACATTTGGACAAAGGAGCATTAAATAAATGGCCACAATTTTGTTCAAGGCAAATTTTTTCAAATTGCGTGGGTACTCAATTATGTTCATACATGTGTACAGGTTCCCTGATAAAAAAGGAAATTGTGTAAATAGGTGTGTACTTCATTCTACAACAAGAAACACCAAGAAATACTCTCTCAAAAGCAAATGATTTGAAATATCGGATCATTTAACGGGTTTTCGATGTGGGACTCAATAGAATGGGTGGTCGGATTGAAGAGGTGTTCGAATTAGAGTTTGTTTCAAGTATCGTTTTATTGTTTGAAAAAATGGATATCATTACACACAGAGTCAATCATAGTTCATTTCGTCATTCCCATGGTGTCATGATTGGATTCTCATATCTTTGTTGGTCCTAAGCTGTAGTCTGTTGGCCTTATGTCAAGTCATATATTGATAGTGTTATACGATAGATGTGTATAACCATGGACCGTGGTATAACTATATTCACATAGTAAAGGTTATCAAAAAACGTTTGACTTTTATATTATCTTTTTAATCTGTCAATTCTAAGAGCATACCAAGTCCAAAGAAAATCAGACCCAGAATGAGACAAACAACCGTGCAAACCATAAAGAAACTATTGGGTAGTGATTCCTGGCTTTCGTGCCAAGGGGTACCTCCAGTGTACATTTTCACCTTCTCCATGAGATTATAGTTCTTTTCTCTACAGAAAGGAGGATCGGCACCATTGTGGTCTTTGTTGGAGCGGATGATTCCATCAGAAAATAATTCCTTGAAACAATTCCGTTTTTCTAAGAATATTCTCACAGCATTTTGGTCATCGGAAGACATATCATTGAAATGGTCTTGCAGCTTCTCTCTACACCAGACACGATATGGTACCACGTTGAATTTGTAACACGCATCACCGACTGTAAAATCGAACTTTGTTTTATTGTTTTTGAAAGCAACAGCATTTGCATTCAAATACGGTAAGTATTGGTCACTTATGATGTCAAAAAGAGGATAAAGCGTATCTGGAATATCGCCATCTGGAGCTGATACTCTGGGTGATCCGGGACCTTGATTTTTGACGTTCCACATACGCGCTACCCATTCGTAGACTGCGGGGCCTCTTTGTCTCATAATCTTAGCAGGGGTAGGATCAAGAGAAAAATGACGAAACATGCTTGCAAAAATTCCAAAGTCAGCCATGGTTGGTTGAGATCCTAAAACGTACTGGTGCTTTTCAAAATGCATTTGTAGGATGTCTAATACATCAAGGTACAGCTGCTCGGTGTTAGCTTTGGTAGCCTCATCTCGTATCCCGTCCATGTAAATATAGTCATTTACTTGCCGGCGGATAATTGAATCTTTGGCAATAAACTCAGGAACGAGACCCTTGTATGCATTTGTCAGGAAATCCACACAAAATCTTCTGGCGTACAAATCCCTATCTGTTTTGAACCCCCATCTATAGTAAAGTGCCGGTCGCCACATCCACTCATCTGCAAAGTCTTCCAAGAGGCGTGAGACAAATCTCTGCACTGGGCAATCCGGTAGTACCCCCGTGGCTATCTTAGAGAGCCCTTCATCTGCTTCAAATAGCTCGATGATGGGGGTTGTGTCTCTCAACCAAACGTCTGCTACTGTGTCGTGAATAACAGGCACCTGCATCAGACCAGTTTTCTCAGCAATAGTCGTTGCCCAATCATCCCATTGTAGCTCAATACGCTTGAAGTCAATGCCTTTGTACTTCAAATAGGCTTCTAGTTTGCCACTAAAGTAAGATATATCCAATATGTATACATTTAGGTCCTGAGATCTCAATGGCACTCTGTAGTCCTTTTTCGAAGCCATGGTGATTATTCTTGTTCACCAGCAGACTGAAATGAAAGATGTACCCGACATAAATAGACTGACATGAAGTATAGTAAAACCTGTCTTTGTGAACACCTCTCCCTAGTGAACACCTGTCGTCTCTAGACACCTGTCTCTGGACACCCGTCATCCGTATATACTCCACTGACTCTATATAAATTACCTTCTCTTTAGTGAACATCTACCTACAGTACGTGAACACATTATTTGGCTCCATAGGTGTTCACTGTATACAGGTTTTACTGTGTTAACGTTGTACACATAAGTCTTACTTGGAAGGCATTAGCAGATTAGGAGTAAATAAACCAATTGCAATGGTCAAGATCAACACCATAAAATACAAATATCAAAATCTACTTTTTGTTATGAACGGATTGGTCGGACAATTACTCAGTATTCATATATGGTAAAGGTCGATGAAAGTTCATTATTAATATGGTCTAGAATACCAAATAATATGTTCTTGTAACATAGTAGTTTATTCAGAATTTCTCATTTTTACGTCCAATATGTTAAGTTCAATATGTGTGTCAGATCATATTTACGATCTAGTTTTCTTGATCTTAACTAATAAATCTTCCTGCATGATCACAGTGTCGGTTTCGTGCATGTTTTTAGAAATGTTAACTTGATTTGCTTCAAATCTCTGGATCCCAGGCTATGCTGGACCTCCTCATCTATTTTTCCTTTTAGAGGTCATTGCTTGAAGCAAGAGTAAATTATGACTAACAAATATTAATCCTACCTGTAAAGCTGCTAAAGTCGAGTGAGGTCCATATTAAGTTTGCAGTCAGAGTTCTCAAGATGAAAGACTTTACACTGTTTAGCACTAAGGTCATAGTCTGGTTTTATTTACTTGTTTACTGATACGTCATCGTTTACGAATAGGGCACTTTGAACTTTATCTACTTCATCTCAACTGTGGTAGCCTAGTTCATAAAGCCATCGTTTCCTTGTACCAAGCATTTATTCACGTCTTGGATTCCCAAGGTAAAACGTTTTCATGAAGTTAAAAATTAGTTAGATGTAGATGTGTTAATTGGTTCTTAAATTGTAAATAGAGGCATATTTGGAAATAGCCTTGCCATGGTTGAGTTTACAATTGTTTTTATTTGAAAATATCCTTGTTGCATCTAGTTTAGGGCAAAATTATGAATGAATGTTAGGTAATCGAACACTGTGGAGAAACTTGAGAGAAAAATTAGAAAAAATGATACTGAAGCCACTTCCTGGAATTTACATGCCTTTCATATATGAGGGTTCTGTTATGGGTGGTTTTGGATATTGGGTATATCCTGGAGGAATCATAGGTATATTTCCAAGGTCCCAGAGGGTTCGAGGTAAGACATCATATCTCCTGAGGGATATAACCCATATCCAAAACTGAGCATCACATAACTAATTTATCCTATGATAAGTGACTTTTAACTTTAAAATATACTGATTAATCCCTTTATTGTATTCCTACGGGTGTTTTGGTAACTATATAATAATCAATAATTGTAAAAGAAAGTAATGAAAAGTTAACAACCGGCCATAAAATATAACTACAGAGTCTGTAAATGTTGTACTAGTAGTTAAAAGATTACTGAGATCAGTGGGATTGTGGAAACATTTTCCCGGATATATCGGAGCGGAAGAGAGACAGCGGGGGGAAATATGTATCGCGCTCCCTTGACATATCAATTCCATATCCCAGACAGTCCAGATCCCGCTGTTATGTACCTGAAACCTCACTTTTCATAGGATAAATAAGGGTTATGTACTGGGAGGTTTTGGATATACCCTATATCCAAAACCGACCGTACATAACTGGTGTATCTCATACTTGAGTGAGTTAAGGGTAGATATAACCTTCTCACCTTTTTCAAATGACAAGATATGCCTATAGTAAAAGCAAAATTTATATTTAACATTTTCGTAACATTCTTTTGTTCAATACAATGAAATCGTAACATTTAAACTTTAAAAATTTTAAACTCTTACCTTTTTTAAACTTTTTTAAACTTTTGAAAAATTCCCGGGAGCGGGATGGGTATATTATATCTGCCCGCATTTGGCTTGGAGCGGGACATATAAAATATATCCTGCCCGCTCCTCATATATGATATATATTCCCGGGTGATATCTACCCCTAACCCACTTAAGTATGAGATACATAGGGTTATTAGGTTATACACCTGGAGGTTTTGGAATTAGTAAATAAAATACATTTTAGCTGACCTGTACAGTGCACATAAAAATCTCTATCCATTCAACTGGTGTATAAACAGAATAATAGTACGTAGTATAAATAAATGTTGTTCCAAGTGATGTGAGATTCTGTGCTGTGTCAAGATATAGGACTACGTCTAGTTATTGACTGGACCACCACTTCTAAATTGTAAATACTCTTATCAATCAAATATAAATAGGTAATCCGGGGTTTTGGATTCTGATGAAACATTCGTAAAAGAAAAGACGGTTCTTGGTTCAAGACTGTGGACCCCCGACGGCTTGCTTTTTAAATAACAGGTAAGGTTCATCGGGAGATCCAAAGCCTTTACTATCCTTCAGAATAGACAGGGGGTAAGGCTGAACGACTGGAATGAACGTGTTACAAGGGTAATGGGATAATAGAGCGTTCGACCCTCAAACGAACCTCTATAAAGCCTTGGTCACATTCGCTCCGATTTTCACAACGGCGCCCGGCCGATGGAGTATTTTGTTCAGAAATGTATTAATTTTGAACAAACAACTCAATCGGCCGGGCGCCGGCCGATGAATCGCAACAAATGTGACCCAGACATAAGGGAGTTAATAAAAGTGAATTGCCGTGTTAGAAAGAATGAGGCAAGGATAGGTGTACTGTTTTCTATTGTGGTAACCAGGTAACTGAAAAGGGAAGGATCTCAATTTTCCACGATACTAATGACAATTGTACACAATTCCTTTTCAGTTGATAGTTGAGTGGTAAAGCGCCATGCCTACCAAGATGGACTATAAGGTTCCATTGGGGTCGAAGGAACTACACGCATACATATTGGATGTATCATACTTTAGTGGCAAACTAGAAGCCTATTTGAAGTACAAAGGGATTGACTTCAAACGTGTAGAGCTGCAGCACAAAGATTGGGCAACGACCATTGCTGAGAAGACTGGTCTGATGCAAGTGCCTGTTATTCACGACACAGTAGCAGACGTATGGTTGAGAGACACAACCCCCATCATCGAGCTATTTGAAGCAGATGAAGGACTCTCTAAGAAAGCCACAGGGATTCTACCAGATTGCCCTGTGCAGAGGTTTGTCTCACACCTCTTGGAAGATTTTGCAGATGAGTGGATGTGGCGACCGGCACTTTACTATAGATGGGGGTTCAAAACAGATAAGGATTTGTACGGTAGGAGAATATATATGGATATCAATAGAAAAATTATGTTGCCCGAGTTCGTTGCGAAAGCTTCAATTATCCGCCGGCAAGTAAATACTTACCTATACAATGATGGGATACGAGATGAGGCTACCAAAGCTAACACCGAGCAGCTCTACCTTGATGTACTGAACATCCTACAAATACATTTTGAAAAGCACCAGTACATCTTAGGAACTCAACCAACCATGGCTGACTTCGGATTTTTTGCAAGCATGTTTCGCCATTTTTCTCTTGATCCCACCCCTGCTAAGATTATGAGACAAAGAGGTCCCGCAGTCTACGAATGGGTAGCGCGCATGTGGAACGTCAAAAACCAAGGTCCCGGATCACCCAGAGTATCAGCTCCAGATGGCGATATTCCAGATACGCTTTATCCTCTTTTTGACATCATAAGTGACCAATACTTACCGTATTTGAATGCAAATGCTGTTGCTTTCAAAAACAATAAAACAAAGTTCGATTTTACAGTCGGTGATGCGTGTTACAAATTCAACGTGGTACCATATCGTGTCTGGTGTAGAGAGAAGCTACAGGACCACTTCAATGATATGCCTTCCGATGACCAAAATGCTGTGAGAATATTCTTAGAAAAACGGAATTGTTTCAAGGAACTATTTTCTGATGGAATCATCCGCTCCAACAAAGACCACAATGGTGCCGATCCTCCTTTCTGTAGAGAAAAGAACTATAATCTCATGGAGAAGGTGAAGATGTACTTTGGAGGTACCCCTTGGCACGAAAGCCAGGAATCACTACCCAATAGTTTCTTTATGGTTTGCACGGTTGTTTGCCTCATTCTGGGTCTGATTTTCTTTGGAGTTGGTATGCTCTTAAGTTTGACAGATTAACATACGGCATAATGTTCAATGGAGGTACCCCGTTGTATGCTTGTTTGTATTCAATATGGACGTCCAATACTTCAAATAGTTTAAAAGTTGGAAAATGATGGTGATGTTGTCCTTTGGTTTTGGCATGCTTTAAAATCCGACATGAACGCAAAGTATTGTGGTATCATATTATATTGTGAATATATATTTCTATTGTTGACTTGTATCAAAAGATGACACATAAGTCAATTTAGAATTGGATAAATCAAAAATTGGAACAATGAGAGCACGAATTAATCTAGGTATTGTAAATTTAAATCACATTTTTGAAGAGAGGCATTTGAATGTAATTAATTACATGAACTATTTGATCGAAAAAGTATAATGGATAGCGTATTTACGTTGCCGGTGTAAAAGGGTAGGAGGTCCCATCAAATTATGGTCCTACTCTCCATTGATTTATATGGTGACCTAAATACAACTCTTTCCCTCATTATCTTATACACAATCAGGGCCAGTAAGGGCCGTTAAGAAAGGGGACCATAATCCCTGGGGGACCATCATTTCTTTCACACCGGCACTCATTCACTTATTTTTTATGTGGAACTAATCATGGACATGTTCATGTACAGTTTAGAACTGATAGAGTGGTGCGTTTATATATTCCATTCTGATATTAAATCACAATTATTTGTCAAGCAAATATAATAGGTTTTCCTAATCAATAGAAATGAAAAAACGTTATCCAAGACAGTATAACACTTAAAACTATCAAATAAGTGATTTGTTAGTACTATTTTATTAGTTTCCCTTAAACTAAATAAATGATACATGGCATTAGCTGATTGATGGTAAAATCTATCTGTTCTTATGTAAACCAATGAAGCTGTGCCCACAGGTCCCAATGCGTTCTCCATCGCAAGCCATGGATGCAACAAATGATAATCCTTTTTAAATGACACGATACAGGATATCTTCCATATCCTCTAGTATCCACTCTGGTATCCATACCCATTTCATGGACAAGTAAAATCTGTGTCACATTCTCATCATCAGTCACTTAAAATTCCAGATGAAGTAGAACAAAGACACCCTGGGAGAATAACGTGTAATTCGCATCATTAATAAAAATCAGGAAATGAATGAAAAATGGTGGACTGTTTTATCCTACCCCCATTCAGAGTCAAACATCCACGTGTCAATCCCAGGTCCAATTATTTGTCTGAAATTGTAATATTTTCACACGCAAACAGTATTTATACAGTTAGTTGTACCATCGTTCTCTCCTTGCCAGTTCCTTCTGTTTGGCAACAGCTCCAGAATTGTTATAGTCCACGATCCGTTGTGTATTATTCATTAATGTGGTACGTTCGGGGTATAGCAAAATCCGTGGATAATCATATCTCAACGATGCTGCTTTTGTTCTCGTTGTATGTAATCGGCCAGTAATGTCATCATATGTCTCCTTAGAATTGACAGAACCACCTTTGAATCGGTCATCCAATCCATCGATAATTGGTAACATCTTGCTCCCAAGGTTAGGAGTCTTTGGATAATCCCAAGCCTTGTCTTTATAGTCTTCACCTCCTCTTTTCGAGACTGTGGTTGTTTTGTTAAGTCTGTCAATAATCTCAGCCATTTCTTCCTTGGAAGCAGGATCGCGACTAATGATGTCTTTTGCCATTCCTGGTGGCACAACTTTCTCCTCAGGCATTTTGTAATAGTTTCTTTAGATCAGTTTTTGTTGTTGTATGGATCTTTTAGTCTTGTCTCGTATCTTTGGCTGCTGGAATGGCCGAAGCCTATGATAAAAATAATCCAATTTAGAATAGAACATGATAATATTATAGTAACATAGATAACAACAACTATCGCATGCAAATGTGTGAATAACACCAACATCAAGAGGAAACTCTAGCGCAGATCCCCTGTCAGATCTTTCCTTTTCTACCACTTCTCAAAAACCAACACGGGAAAACTCTGGCAGAGGACCTTGGTTTCGCGTATGATTGTTACCGATTTGCTATAATTAACACATCATCATCATTAGAACTTAAAGTTGATAATTACCTTTATTTCTGTTCCCAGTTATATGTATCTCAACAACTGTATTTTCTTTTATATTAACAGTAGAGTGTTGTAGCTACGTAAACGTGAACTTAGAAACCACCTTTAGAAATTCAATATAAGGTCATTGTGCCTTTTGTGAGTTGTCAATGGTACATGGGATTATAAATCGATTCTATTGAATAATTCTGCTATTGTTGTGATATAATCTAAGTTGAATTTAAGAAATAAGTGTAGACGCTCGGTGCAGATACGTACTAAAATAGGTATAATATAACAATGGCTCTTAGATCAATTTTAATTTACTAGTACTATTTAATTATACTTTGAAAAGGAACCACTAACCTGAACCGCAGTTCTTTATTTTGACCCGCGGTTGCTATGCTGATGGTGAATTTGTGGGTATTTCAAAACACTAAATGTCACAAAGAGCATTGATGTTTATAGCATATACACAGTTAAATGTTAATTGAGATTCAGCCAAATAATGCTTTATGATATCCGCATCCGATACCAATCCTTTTCGAACGACATAATTGTTGATATGAAACATAATGCAAAATGTTCAAATGATATGAAACATAATGCAAAATGTACAAATGATACGAAACATAATGCAAAATGTACAAATAATATAAAACATAATGCAAAATGTACAAATGATACGAAACATAATGCAAAATGTACAAATGATATTAAACATAATGAAAAATGTACAAATAATATAAAACATAATGCAAAATGTACAAATGATATGAAACATATGCAAAAATTACAAATGATATGAAACAAAATGCAAAATGTACAAATGATATGAAACATAATTTTTTGCAAAATGTACAAATGATACGAAACATAATGCAAAATGTAGAAATGATATAAAACATAATACTAATTAAAAGGACGTAGGCTATGTCGCTTAAACTGATTGAGATATGTTATATATATCAAAATAAAGCCTGTTTCTCCTACATTTGTATTTTATGAATATATACAACTTTACTACACTTATTTAATTCAAAGGGGTATTTATAACATGTATTTAAATAACTTGCTCAAAATATTAGGAAAAATCACAATTATGACGTCACAGAAGATATGCAAATGAGCTGATTTGCATAAATTATACTTTATCTGAAAGGGCACTCAACATGCTTTCATTTGGTACCAAGATTATTTAAAACGGATAAGAAATGGAATAGTTATATAACAAAACATGTAATTGGTGATTCGAATACTGTTAATAGCAGGTATTTTATTCAGCATCCGTTTCCATGGCAACGGGACCATTTTCAGAACTTCTTATTAAGTAGAAGATGTTGTGGTGATGCACAGCTTTCCAAAAATACCAAGAAACCCAACAGGGTCAGTCGATCCTTTTTTATTTTATTTTTTGCAAATCCCTACTCGTCTATAATGCAAATGTACAAATGATATGATAGATGGTGACAAATGTACACATGAAAAATGATATGAAAATGATACAAAATAAAAAGATGAAAAATGATATGAGACACATTATTTTTATTGTAAAATAAAGAATGATATGAAACACATTTGCGAAATGTACAAATGAAAAATTGTATCTAACACAAAATTCGAAATTCACGAAAACTAAAATCCACGCAATGATGTATGTCATAACTGTACAGGACATTCAAGTTATGTTACATCCAAGCGGCCACAGGTAGACCGATAAGGGTATCCTCACGTACTAGCGACTCTACATCCTCCGATCACAGGGCTTCAAAATCCAGAATATCTTCTTTCTTTTTACCGGGGGGAAGGAGGTACGGATTCTGGACACCTGCTTAGGAGGATGGCGACTCTACCAATTACAATTCTATTTCTACCATTGTATTGGATCAAAATTGAAATGTATTTACTAGTACATGGTTCAGCTGGAGACAACAGGGGATAAGTAAAGATGGAGTTACCAGGTATTATCTAAATATTTACCATTACCATTATATATAGTAGATGGGCCTTTTTACGATAAGTAATATATCGGGAAATAGAGGAACCGAAATTTAAAACACAACTATAGCGATAATATTGATTTTTTATGATTTTGCGAGCGGCATCATGAGATCGATCATGTCCTTTCGTGGATTTAGGAAGATCCAAAGTGATTTGCATTCGGAGGATTCCATTTATTTGACAGCAGAATGAAGGTTACTTTGAACAAAAACAAAAGTACTAATGATCTATCTTCTCTTCAATGTGACTTCTACTTGAGGTCACTTTCTACAGTAGAGTTTGTCAAAGTATGTATTAGCATGTATCAGCCAAGTTTGCCAATTCGACCAGTGTTTCGGAGAATACAAGTTTTCGACAAATCGTATATAGTAGTAAAACATATTATATTTGTATATGATGAATGAGAATTATCATTGTATTCAAACTTTGAAAATATCTACGCAACTGCTGAATGTTTAGTTGAGAAGTCGAAATGTTAATCACAAAAATCAAAAGTTTGTTTTTTGTCAAACATTCCATCTTTAAATACAAGCAAGATGTCGACAATAGTTTAGAGATAATGATTAAGTGTCGAGTGTAATTAGTCAATAATGCTAATATCAACAAATCATCGTAGTTTGATTTTTAGAAGAACAACTGACATTTGGTATATCAGTTATTGTAAAAAGACCCATATGCTATACGAACATTAATAAGATGGCAGCATCACTATCACTAACGCAGACCTAATATTTCATATTGGAATTTTAGAGCCTAAGTATTTCCCAAAAGAGACATAACTTTCATTACCAGCAATCAAGACCATCATGGGTTCAATAGATCAGTGAAAACGTGTTTACAATGTCCTCCAAACCCAGATTTCCCGAAAATGGACACAATTTATCATTATGCAGCCAAGCTTCATCGATCTCTCAAAATGTACACTGTAACGATAAAATATACAGGGTGTTTCATAATGACGCCCCTCATAATCTATATACCGAAATAACGCTGATTCAATATTCTGGACTTATGTGCCAAATCTTAGCATAGCTGATCTTTGGGAACATAATTTGTGAACTTGTAACTTGTATTTGTCACTTATCCCCTCAATTTGCATGTTTTATGTCTACTGATGGATTTAAAGAGGAGTAGAATGCTATATAATCCATTGTATCATCTAGTGCTCTCTGGTCATTTCTTTGAAATATTTAATACTTTTGTCTTTCAAATATCATTAAGATATATCCCCAGCATCCATCAAATGTTAGAAGTTGTACATTACTATACATATTAATGTACTGAGGCATGGTTATCACAGCTTTTTGCAGGATACAAGGCCAATTTTGGAAAAATGTGGCTTCCAGATTCTATGCTAAAGGTAAAATGGGTACCTTTTGTAAAGTTATGTAGCAAGTTGTAAAAACTGTAGAGCTTAATCAAAGTTGTTTCAATAAATCGAGAATTAATGCACATAATGGAAACGGCCGTTTGAACAGAATGGGTCAATGTTGAATTTTCATATCATGGTCATCTCAATAATTTCGATTTTATTTAAAAACAGACTGTACCTAAATTAGTCCGAACAAATAAGTCCGAATGTACCACGGATTTAATGTGATGCATGCATAGGGTATTTCTACCAGTATAACACAATTGGGTTTATCAAATCCGTTAACCAGAGACCATCTTTTCGGAGACTGGCCCAAATATAAATAGTGGTCAAGGAATTTATAAAGAACATACATGGGGTGTTCAATAAGTCATGAGACTATAAATAAAACTGTAGATTCGTTGACATCGCATGTTAAAACTTAATTAAGTGCTAAAGAGACAAGAGTTGAAGATGAGTTCTAATTAACTCAATTTATTGGTCCTTTACACTGGAAGAACATATCTGAACTAGGCCTGTTATGAAATGCTAAATGGATGCTTCCACTGTTAGAAAATAATACTTAGGCAAATAATACTTTATTTTTTCAATATTTCAAATCACATGCATTTAACAATTATGAAAATGATAACATGTTCAAACGACTAGAAATTCACAAAATATGAGCAAGCCCAGCAGATTATACAAGCATTTAAACTGTTTTGTTTAAAGTTTGTAAAGTAAATATACAACTATTGTTAAACATAAATATTGTACAAAAATAAAATAAAATGCACTTTGATATTTTATATCAATTCTTTTACATAAGAGATGACAATGACCCCCAAGCAAGGTGACTCATTCACAATTAATTACATACAAGGGCCATTTACAATAAATATATAACGCCATATTCTCATTATAACATTGGTGGCAGCGGTGGCACATTGTGGGATAAGATAGGTTAATCTCGCCACTATGTTCACCTTTTATTTACACCACGTTTAGTTCAAGAGGTAGCCGATTATTACCATTATAGACTATTATGGTAAAGTGTGATTTTGTTTCTTAAAATAGAGTGAACTAGGTTGAAAGTTCTGGTCTGGTATGGGTTGAAGGCTCTGCATGTAAGTATATGTATGTTTATAGGTAAATCCATTTAGTTCTAAAGGCTCCAGAGATTCCCTTTGCCAAGATGTCCATTCTCTAAAAATCTAGAATGGCCATACCATATCCAACGAACTACATAGATTTCAATATAATATGTATTCACTTTTCTATAAAGCATAAATAAAAATGTACTGTTAATTGAGATATAGCATTAAGGATATTTACATTGTTTGGTTAATTGTGAATATTAAAGATTCTACCTGATGCCAAAGGTGACAGCAATATCACGATACAAACCTGGTATATCATGTAAGAATAACACTGTAACATATTTCCCAACAAAAACATAACTTTTACAATCAGCAATCGTGGATTGAATAAATTAGAGCAAACTTCTCTTTCCCTATTATGCATAAAGCCCACGTTCTTAAATCATCTTTTTGATCCGTTCAAACTCAAGACAAGATGGCATGCTGATAACAAAATATCACATCAATTTTCGGAGATCAAATTCACAGTGAAAAGCCATCCATACATCCGGGAACTGATTTTCCAGACGAATTCATTCTCTTGACAGAGTTGCTCATCCAGCCAACGATGAACTGAAACTTAGTGTCGTAATCATCGACGTCATCCGTTAGTTGTAAAGTGTGCAAATGTCCAATGAGTATACTGATTACATTTACGGTTATGTCATTCGCACCTCATCGCATTTACACTGGTCATACTGTTTTCGTGCCACAGGTGCCTTAATACTGTCTTTGGCATACCATGTACATCATGTCATGCAAACTACGCATAGCCTCATCATGGCCATGCGATGCCATTATGCTACTAAGGGTTTGATTTGATGTACCAAGAGATTTGAGGTGTTTGGAGATCATTCATCTTCACTTATGTTTCATTTATGTACATAGGGGTCATCAAACTTGTTAAGATTGTATCACATAACATCTAATTGAAGTGAGAATGGAACACAATGCCTTTTATATAATACATCAACATCAGATGAGCTGATATCAATGACTATGTCTTAAATTATCAGAGTATGTTTCCAGTGGAACGGAAAGATATGACGAGTATCAGATCAAAATGGCCGCGCCTCGTTATGAAAAGAATGTCAGCCGTTGCTATGGATGTTCATTAGAATATCATGTTGAAGGCGCAAATATATCTCATTCATTTGAATATTCTATTCATATATTGCAATTATGCTAATATGAGAATTGACTGTTGCTATCATAATTACGGTGGATTTTTAATAGCATTCCTTCAAAACGATCTTACGTCATGTTTAAGGCAAATTGTAGGAAGTGCCCCGGGGGAAGTGTATACATCCCATCCAAAATCACGAGACTTGGATGTACACGTGACAATTTTTACAGTTTCTTCAATTGGACCTGTATTGTCTGTTACAATAATGACTCCCTTTCATCACCACTTGATCTTTCTTCATCTGTGTCTGTGTCACTATCTGATGCCTCACTCTCTGCATCACTGATCTCGTCATCCAAGCCATCCACACTCCAATCTGAAACGTACATGTATCTAAGTGAATATGGAGTATACTATTTTATTCTCAACATGGTTAAAAATCAAACCATCGATTATAACTTTTGAGTGTGATTCATCAAAGGTTATGGGGTAGTTGTTGCTATCAGATACTGTGACCACTGGACGTTAAGAAGTCTTTTAACTAGCAATTTGTGAAGACAAATTAACAGCAGTAAATCAAGTTAAGCACCAGGTTAGTGTACCAAATAAGTGAAGCATTGAAAAACAGGAACTGCGCAATATGGGATGGGACAATTGATGATTATGAATGTTGGCAGGGGGATAAAGAAATGTACTTTAATGAGTAGTGAACTATTGAGCAAACTAATGAAGCACGTCATGTTAACAATATATTATAATGTGTCATGTCATCTAAATCCCTTGAATGTCATGAATGATACTCTGCTGCTGAACTACTAAAACTTAAGCTTTAAAGAACCAAGCGTCTTCAAACGAGAAAAACGCTAGTATATTTCACTCCGGGCTGTTTTAATGGCGAACAACCATGGCCACTCAGAAAGAACCCCTATAGTATCCCACCGCTGACACCAATGTAGCAACCCACGGTGCTTTGTGGGGACAATAACTTAACTAACTAATGCGCTATCTAACTAATGCAGCGAAGCAAATCAGATACAGCCATGAATTAGGACGTGCTTAATTCAATGACACATGTGGGAATCGAGTCTGTGATCCCAATACCTTCACCGATGCTGAGCTAAAAAAAAGAAATGCACTGTAGAAAGTAACGATCTGCTATCTAAGATCACTGCTCTACAGCATAAAAGCACTAGTCGAAAAAGTAGAAAAAGCTTTGAACCTTATAAACCATAATAAAAGACCCATGTTGAACTATTGCAAAAATGTGTGTTTTGAGGTCAATATTGGTAATTTATTCAAAACCAACTCTGAAAATGGCAATGACAGTTCAAAACTAGAAGAGCACGGGACATATCGCATATGCAATACCACAACCAAAAAGCACATATAGGCAGGTAGAAAAATCTAGAAGTGTTTTCCTGATATAGAAAAGATTTATCATAAAAATTAAATGGGTATCAAATGGTTACCAGATGGTCACCCAAAGGAGAATCAGTTGTAGGACTTTGTACCCATTAAGATGTGTACGAATTCGAAGAAAAATCCATTGAGCAATTTCCTCAAATGGTGATGACAAGATTTATCAAAAACTGTTGAATTGTGAAAAATATTCCAAAGCACATCTCTATCCGCTTAGTGAAAAACATACTCCCAATGGCAATTGGGACTTCCCTAATCTAAAAAATGCAATTTGCTTTCTTTCATTTTCAAGATTCTATTTAGCCTTATCTTATCATCGAAATTAGATTGGCGTTCAGAGATTGCAACACTATCTTCTAAAATCGATCGTTCCGCACCACTATCTGCTTATAAAAGATAAGAGGATTCCCGAGCATTTGTTTTATGTTCAGGTCAACCAAAACCATATTAAGTTGTAGGCTAGGATAAACGTGTAATGTTAGGGTAATCAAGTGGCAATCATTGTTCTGTTACATCCCACAGGCAACACAGCCTGTTAACGACAACATCATAAGATAACCAATATGATTATTACTTTATTCTGGAGAATCGACAAATAAATGAAGAGTTTCAATTCTTAGTCAATATAGTCCACTGGGACGAATAGACTAGATCTAGATTAGGTTTAGTAATAACTTGATATAATTTCACTCTGTACTCTAGTTCTCGAGAAAAATTATGAGCTCTATCCAGAATCACGATGACATAGAAAATTGAAACAATCAAAAAGACCACCTTACCACACTCGCTGTCGGTTTCTACATCAGAGTGACTACTTGTGCCGTAAGTCTCACATTCCTCCTCGCTGGTGGCACTGGTTGAGTCAGACTTCACTTGAAGTGTGTCGCCATCTGCCTGATCTAACTTATGGTAGCCTTTGTTTGAAGATCCCTTTTCTAAAAATAAAAGAGCAATGAGATTTGAATCAGAATAAACAAAAGGCACAACTGAACTGAAACAAAAATACTCACTAAACAACAACCAACAATTCAATGATATTTAAGGTGTTCATGAGTAATAATATATCAAAGAAAAGTTGGAATTCCCGTTTGTTTACTGTAGCAAATAATGATGTCCCGGCACTAAAAAAATGAACCAATCGTTCAATAACATAATGTTTAATACTTTTCTACTTTCACGGTTACTGAATCAGTAATGATTGAAATGTACTATGGTCTGATGGTTTTGGTTTGTGACAATATCTCTTGAAGATGAGAAAAAAGGCTATTGGTACTCTTTTGTGTCTTGTTTGATCATTGATTAGACTATTTGGGATTTGCTTCCTTATGATAAACTATTCTTTTTTCTTCTTTGGGTTTATTAATACCCCTTTTAAAGTTTTTCGCCTTTCGATACACATCTATATTGCTTATGTGCCCGCTCATTACCTACTTCCTATCTCCAACATGGAGAGATGTTTCATTTCCTTCTTGTCAGACTATTTTGACAACCTCGATATATCAAGATAATATTGTATAACGATGATAAAGGCATCACCCCTGTCACTCCCTTGCACAAATGAAACCTAAAGCTTCCAAAAAACACCCACATGGCGTGACATTGACGTTATTAATAATTGCTAATGCCAGGTTGATGTCTCAAGATACTATGACGTCGTATCATATTCCTTATGATCACATGATGGTTTTGTTATTACTTTAAGACTTTGATGTGAACTAACTTGCAGTTGCATCATACAGGACAGTGCTGGAATACGTGATGAATGAAACATCCCCAAAAGACAACCATGATGTATACGTTGTGCTTATCCCCTGGGTGCTTTATCATTGCGGATATGGCTTTATAAAAACTGACACACATTAGTGGATTAACGGATCAAAACCTGATCTATTACCTCCTTATTGCAAAACGTATTGCAGACTAAAAACGATTTGCAAAACATTCTTCTTACTAAGACATTTGCATTAGTGCTTGATTTTGAGTAAAGTGGTATCTTTCTTTACTCCTACAAAATTTGGCAAGTTGGTTGGCTTGTTTAGGTGAGGTCATGAGATACCACTGTTAAGAAGTTAAGAAACCACATCAACTTTACCCCATTGTCTCCCGAAAGGGAAGTCTTTCAGCTTGAAGCCCCGCCTAGTTAATCTCGTCCCCCATCTCCTCTCTCACATAAATTAATCTTATATTCTATCTCACATCATCCCCCATTTTTTCTCCCTATTCCCAATTTGCCCTCTTTCCCTTGAGATATATTTCTTACCATTCCTGTTTATTTTATTCTTTCCATACACGTACGGCTATATTCAATCAGATGTAGCAACACGGGGTAGAAGTACCAGCCACAAGCAATGCCCAACCAAAATTATGGTACAAAAGCTACAGATCCTTTTTAAAATATTGTTTGATTTTCAAGGGGTTGATCCAATAGCAAATGAATTAATAATGATAAATTACGTAATTAGAAAACACATTTGTCCTAATGTTTTCACCAAATTAATTAAAACCAGAAAGTTCTAAATCCATGAACTTGATGTCTTTTGAATATTATAGTAATCGATATATACATCAATGAATCTATATCCTAATCATTCAATCATTCATACAAAATTACATAAACATGATAGGATTGAATACAGAAATTACGTTAGCAGAATGTCTGTTTAATGTTATGCTTTATCTGACTAGACATTCATTACAATTTGAAAGATAATCTTGTTTTGTGGATCTCTTGTCAGACAGCCATTCATCATCTTCGGAGTTATGCAACAACAGTATCGTTCCAAGCCATAATCATGGATCTGGCTTCTTATTAAAAGAACACACTAACATTTATTGTGAAATAGTAGAAATATGGCAAATTGCAAAACTAACACGTTCCAAACAGAAACCTCTGGAGACTTAATACAGTGTAGTATCCTTTGACAACTGTTCTTATACCAATAGGTTCAACGGTCAGAAAAGATGAAAAACATGCCTATCATACGAATAAAAAATGTAATGTTTCAGTTATATATGATTGAGCGTGTTTACAAATTGGTCACAAAATTTGACAAAAAAACTAAACAATGTTTTTTTTAATTCTTTTCAAATTCAAATGCCGTGGTTTTTAAAATGGATGGTTTCCCTCTATATAGTGAATATATCTATGTTTCATTCAATGCAATACACTTTTTTGTGTTGCTACAATGGTGGCCATCGTACCCATAGCACGTGGGTTAATGCTTAGCGTTGAAACATCATCCAAATATAGCTTCCTGACCGATCACAGTCCTATGTGTTCAGAGTATCAGAATGGAAATACAGTTATACATCAAGTTATGGTTGGAGGCGCAAATGTCAATTTGAACATATTTAGTTCAACTAATGCAATTATTTATCAAATGCCCGTGGTCATTTCATGATCAATAGATAAGCCTCGTGGGTATCAAGTTTAATAAAACATCGGTCCCAAGGTAATATAAAAACTAATATATTTTGGAATCGCCTAAGTTGCTTAACGGGATATGAGGCTGATAAATAGTATGGTAAAACATTGAAGTATCCTGCATTTGACGTGACCATAAATCATTTTTGTACATATCGGCATAATCCAACTCTATAATTCTATTTCTCATTACTTATCGGGGAATTTTCACAAGTACAAATGATGTAAGAAATTCTTGCAACCGCCACATCATGTCGTTGCCGCCTTTTGATTAATATATGGGTGATCATAAAATGCATGTGTTTGGTAGGTTATTGCTGTTTTAAACATGCGTTATGGGGGTAATGTTGTTTTTGCACTGGATCTTTTGGTTACCATGACAACCATTTCTAAATGCATATTTCTTTTACACTTAATGTTTTGATAGACTTATTCTTTGTCATTGCATGTTTCCATTTGAATAAATTGAAGAGTAAGAATTTACCGAGATAATATGATATCTTCATGAACGACCCTCGTATATCTGTAACTTGAATGTTAAAACTTGTAAATCCTCAATTAGTTTGATTTAGTCCTCATAATCTAACATAATCCGTATAAATGAGACCAGGAAAGGATGCCCTTTACTTGTTACTGTTCTTTGAATATTGCCCATTGCACTTTCTGATCACAGATAACGAGATATTGAGAGGATAATGTAGATGATATGTGATATACAAATGCTACCCAAAATATCGTTCAAATAGTACAAGATCAAGATCAATGACACATAACATAACATATATAAGTACTGCCTTGTATAACTGATGATACAATGAACCAATAATACAGTAACTGCATTACTATTACCCTTTGTATTCAATTGACTTAAAGGTAGCTAGTTAATTAAGAACTAAAACCTTGGCTCTGGGTTTCATGACTGGTTTCATTGAACCCTATTAATCACAAAACTAGGTGGAATCGATGTCAAAAGTAAACATCGTCCCTGGTTCAATAATACAATATGTTGCATTTTGTCATATAAGCATAACAATCCCACCGCTGCCACCAGGTATGTAAATCAAAATACTCTCAAATTCAATGTAAGACACAATACAAATGTACCCGTTTTTGCATACAATAGGAGGTATATTCATATGTCCATTGATAAAGCTCAACACAGCATGGGTATAATGGATGTTTTCTGCAAACTTTCTACCTGCAACCTATGACTCCTCTATGTCAAAATCATTCTGCTCAAAATTTTGTTTACTTGTATTCAGGTCTTTTAATAAATATATCTAGATGACGTTGTGTGCTACTCTGTATAATGCCGATATCCATGCACCCGTTCTGATTTCCAAAGCGGTAGATAAGAGGGGGTCTGGCAAACAAGAACAGCTAGTAAAGGTACGTATATGTGTATGAAAATGACTTAAGAGAGCTAGATTTTAAAAGTAGGATTTAACCTACTCGTTTCATGGTTTCATATTTTAAAATCTTAATGTTTTTTTTAGTTGACGTTGTTTCTTGAGTCTTGTTTAATTCGTTCTTTACCTCATGGCGTATCTTGGGTTTTCTGATAGCTCCTATTTGGTTTTTAATTGAGAGCGTGAATGAGGAGAGTGTAACATCTTCATGCTGATTGTATGGTGATTAATCATCCATCACAGACATTGCATGGCATTTCGAATCACAGTTAATATGGAGATGAGCTTCTGAATAACAACTTTGAAGTCAGAAGCTGACAACGGTTAATTCTTATTAATGACTTACTAGAAATCTTTGTTTTCCAAAAGCTTCAAGTTAGCACTCAAGCCATAAACTTGCAATATCATAAGCCTTAAGGAAATTTATACATGAATCAAAACAACACAAATATCAAAGGCAATCAAATCCTAGCACACAATATAATCTTCTGGAAATAAGTGCATATGGAGAGTTGATCTTCCATCTTAATGGTAATTCTAACTCCTTTCCATGGTTATGATATGCCACGGTATTTTGTATTAGATTAAGCTGGCTGACCCGTTGGGATAATACCAGCTATATCTGTGTTTACTCCTTTCCGTGGTTATGACATGCCACGGTATTTTGTATTAGATAAAACTGGCTGACCCGTTGGGATAATACCAGCTATATCTGTGTTTACTCCTTTCCATGGTTATGATATGCCACGGTGTTTTGTATTAGATTAATCTGGCTGACACACTGGGATCATATCATATATCTGTGTTTACATATATTGATAGTGGCAATAAAATAAAGATGCCAATTACTTAAAATATAAAACATCAGAGTATATTACACTTATTACAGTTGCAAAACAGAATGCAATAATGAGCATTAGAATGATTTGTCATCGTCATTCATCGTGGATATACGGCCAGACCGTTTATTACATACACAGTTGCACACGCTGTTGTTCTCTCCCCTCAACATTCGTTTTAGGATTTAGCTTCTCAAAAGATCAATCTTCTCTTTTTTGAGGATGGCTACACGAATATGCCCATATTATATCTTACACACATGCGGTAACTTCACATCACTAACGTATGTTCAGAGAGACTTTTAAGGATGCTTCACACGAATCCAGATAACTTCAAGTGAGACTATTAATCAAATTCAAGAAGATAATTGTAGACAGCCTACTGAGCATACCGTGTCTGCAATAAATGATCCGCACAAAGTGAAGGTATGTTGGTGATCCATGAAAATTTAAAATAAATATGTAAACGCAAGTGCCACATGAGAAAAATACTATTAACACAGTGTTGGGAAATGAGTAAGTTACAAGTCATGAGAAAACAAACTCCACTGTATTCCAAAGAATGATTTAAAGAACGAAAACAGCGTCTGACATTCCTGATAACTTCAATTCTAAGTTATGATATGATTTAATGCACAAATGAACAATGTTCGATACCCCCTCCATTTCCAACCATGGCATCTCATTTCTTCCATTGTTTTGTTTTAAGCTTTTCTTTATCCTAGATTTTAAATGAAAATTTTTAAAACCCTCATCATAGATTTTGCTTCAAATCAGTTAATAATCGTCACCGTACAGAAAACTGTGCAGCGCTATTTTTGACGCTGTACGGTGAGGATGGTTAGGTGTGGCATGGTATATGGACTTTTACACAATCAGATAATAATGCAATGCAACGATTCATCTTGTTAATACGTCTCTGCTGATTGTTTCCCTTCCAAACACACGTCGTTGTTTATATCATCGAGGCTAGACATGAGTTTTTATGATGATTGTATATTAGCAGTTAAAGGGGCAACAAGGCCTGGACAGAGACAGTCCATGGTCGTTGAATGGCCCCTCTGCACTAATTGTTGCACCTTTAATTTTTTTGATTGGTGTTATCTAGAACTATGGGGATTAGCTGGTTCCCATCAATGTTTCTCATCAGACGTATACCCATATTCTTTAACCCAAGGAACAATCATGGTGTTTTGGATCGCGTCCATCCTCTATATCATTATATCTCACATTTACCCCATCCTCAGATCGCTTTGTTCTTTCGTCTGGAGCCTTGTGTCCGGAGAATGAATTTATCAATATCTAAAAAGTGATATCTATATCTAAGTGCAGAGCATGGTATTATGTTAGAATGTACTCAATGCGGAATCCAGATCCAGGGAGGATTTTACTATGAATCACTAGTATTGACAAGTGTATTATAGGGTTACACTGTATTAATGAGGTTGTCATGGACGTCAATTAAAGGAATTTCAGTAATTAACATCATACTAGCTATATGCCATCCTTGGTCCAAGAGTTTTTCAATTCATTCCATTAGCAGGGACAATGATGCCCGATATTGAAGGATGGCTACATGCACCCATATGTATAGTTTTGGAACCGTATACAAAGGTGAATCGTAAAATCATTCTCTAACAAATGTACACCCCACACGTATCTAATTCTCTCTGGAGGCTCTCTAAAAAGTAATAATCAACCAAATTGCTGCATTCAAAGTCCATTGAGCATAGGACCCAATGCGCAGAGTCTAGTCATAAGTTATATGACGTAAAAGAAGCAGTAAAACGAATAAGAAGCAGTTAAGGAGGGTCATCATGAGAAATCATGGCCTTCTATTAGCTTATTCCAGACATATTTCTTTTTGAAGGTACCAGGCTCCATTCCCTGGTTTTCAACACTTGCGATTGATGTAGACCCATCGATTGAGATCTGAAATTCAGGCCCGTAGCTGCCCCCCTCCCATATGTCTTAAAAATGTGGACCTGCATTTTTGCTTTCTTGAAGGAAAACCTGCTCTTCCCCACATAAAATTGGCAATTTAGATTTTAAAAAACTGGCATTATGGGGCATTTTTTGAAAAATTTAGTCTCAATTTGTGTGACCCTTTCCCCTCATGATTGCCTTTTGTCTTTTGTTAAACATACCCTCCACTAACAGATCCAAGTGGCATGGGACCTGTATCCCGCTCCCCTGGGATGGGCCCAGAACAATTATGTAAGCCTCGTTAGCGGGCCTTTTTGGGCATTACTTGGCCTTTTATGGCATCGTTTTCTAATTTTATGCAAAATTAACAAAGATGGACCTTACATTTTCGGCACTTAGCTTCCAGATCCTCCACTGCCCTTTACATAACGTCCAGTATGTTGGCTTAGCATGAAAAAATATTTGTGGGGAGAGTTTCTTGGGGGGGGTCGATTGCTACGGGCGTGTATTGTCGGGAAAAAACACGTGCACTATGGGCGAGAATGAGATTGAGGAAAGAAATATGTGACCAGATAACTAAACGTTGAAACTAACTTACTCCAAACCTTTAATTATTTGGAAAAATACAACAGAAGAAAACGGTGCAGTATAATGAGACAATATTGTTATAAACATTACCTAAGTCGTTGAATATAATATGCCATACAGATACAAAATTTGATTAACAGATGTCAATGATTTTCATTTCATTTTAATTCACAAATGTTCATGACACTTCACTGGTCCATGGGAAACAGTAGTTAGACTCATCCAAAATGGCGGACGGCTATCGATTGCTGCTAAAACAAGCATAATCTAAATTTGAACAACTACAGTTAACCCAACCGAGTGAAAACTATAAAGAAACCTTCTACAAGAAATAATTGACCAATTGACTCTCTCTGTAAGAAATACATGTCCTCTGGGAACAAGAAACAGTGTTTTAGGTCAATTCTGAGCATTTCCAATTTTACAAGAAAAATACTCTCTTTTTGTTCTCCTTGCAAAGATTTTATAGTTCTATATTTTGTAGTTTTCACAGATTAAAAGATAAATATCTTAATAAATATACTTATGCAACAATAATTTGGTTTTTGGGCTGGCTCTTAACATGGACCCTCGTTATGGGAAACATTTAGTCCAGTACGGAGACGGTTTCCTGTCCACACATGCTTAACGTATATATCAGGGATATACTAATATACTAGTACTTGTGATCATCATTTTACTTAGAAACGTTTTTCTTTTCATCTTTAAGAAGTAAGCAAAATATACTAGGGATTTTATATGTCATTTGAAGAATGTAATCCTATTTTCCTTACTTTATTGCTATTTTTACTGTTATTGGAAATCATATGTTGGATATACGTTTGGCCCTAAAAGGGCATCAGTACAAATAAAATCCTATTATATATATCAAAATCATGCACAAATATCTAGGCCTACAAAAGCAGAATAATAACAATAGGATTTTATTAGTACTGATGCCCTTTTAGGGCCAAACGTACATCCAATATACAATTTTCAATAACAGTAAATATAGGCAATAAAGTAAAGAAAATAGGATTACATTCTTCAAATGACATATAAAATGTTACTTTGATATAAGAATCCTGTCTCTACCAATCATTAGATACTTTATCATGTCAGCAGATTCTTTTAATATGATCCCCTCACTCGTCAATAGAAAAATTGTCTTTTGGTGGTCATTCATGTTTTTAAAATTACGACACAGGTTTTCAAGTTTTTCAATATGGGATTTTCTGATAAACTCCAATTTTTTACATTTGAATAAAAAGTGTGTTTCATCTTCTATAACCGAGTCCTTGCATATTTTACAAAATCGACTATTAAGATCAGTAATTGGTTTTGTATATCGGCCTCTCTCTATCTCTAGATTGTGGGCGCTTATACGTAATCTAGTTAAATGTTTAGCATTTGAAAGTGTCGTTTCTGAAAGGTAGTGTTCAAATCCAAAGTGCGATTTTAGTTGTTTAAATAATCTAAGTTTCCCCCCATTCCCACTTATCAGATTCTTCCAATATACTTGATATCTCTCTATTAGTTTCCTTTTGACTTTAATAGCAAGCCTATTTGTGCTCATCTCTATGTTTACCCTATCTTCAAGATTCAATTCATCAGACATTTTTATTTTAATATGGCACAGTATATTTTTGAGTTGTTTGTGCCATGTAAATGTGTTATTTGTTAAATCAAATGTTTTACTCATAATTAATGAATCGTTTAGTAAACTCCCATTTGAACTCAACTCTAAATGACCGAGGTATTTGATTTGTCTTTTTATAATATCAACTACCAAAGGTATTCTTCCCAATTCTCCTCTTACTGCCATGTTTGTGGCTTTTCTATGAACCCCGAGAACATATTTTTGGAACCGAATATGATTGTTTTCAATTAAAGCACTTTCGTATTTCTGTTCAATATCTCGATTAGTTTGGCAGTCACGCTTGGTATATATATCATTACACCATATTTCCGAACCGTATAAAGCGACGGGTTTGATAAGTTGATCATACAATTTCATTTTCAGTGAAGACTTCATCTCTGTGCCGCTTGTCAATTGATAAAGTTTAAACATGGCTTTATTTGCTTTTTCTTTTATGTTTTGTTGGGCCGGTTTAAAAGATCCCGAAACACTTAAGACAATTCCCAAATATGTATACCTTTGAACATTTTGTATATTCTTACCATTTATTTGAAATCGTTCTTGACAAACTTTGCCACATTTCCAGAATTTCATAATTTTTGTTTTGTCAATGTTAATTTCAAGTTTCCAGTCATCACAGAAGGATTCAAGAGTGTTCAGTTTTAGCTGAATATTAGCTGAATATTATAAGTTATTCAATGATTCGAGTGAAATACAGAAAACATTCTTACCGAGAAGGTTGTATTTCACGATGCGCTAGTAGAGTGAAAAACAGACGTTCAAGAGAAGAATCATTGTTTGCTTTGTATTGTATTATACGAGACATTTGGAATAAATTTGTAGCCTTTAAGCAAAACTGGATTGTGAAATAATTGGATGACGGGTCGAAATATTTGTTAGAAATGCTATGTTGTTAATCCAATAAAGAATTTTGCCCGCCATTTTGTATCAGACAAACTGGTGTTTACTTCACCCTTCTTTAGACCAGTGATGTTTATGTGTAAAATGGTTAATTGACATCAATTGCATGAATTTTTACATTGTTGAGTCATGTTTATTCGATTAATGAAAACAAGAATTACGTTTTTCTGTGCGATCTTAGCTGTCATACAGATGGTGCTTTTATACATGCAAGGTCCCGTTTGGACCACAAAGGTATGTTCCTGTTTGTCACTTTTAAGCATTTTTAAATTGATAAATGGTCTTCCTTTAACATGTATATAACATTGTTTTTGTGGATATAAAATTTTCAATTTAAAACTCATTTCAGATTAGACTTTCTCACTCCGCTCCCCTATTTAAAGATCTTAGAATATTAAATATTTTTGATGTCAACAGATATTGTACTGGTCAGTTCATGTACAAAATCTTTAATAAGCACCCCAGTCTTCCAAAAAATCTATTTCAAGACTTGTTTGATATCAACATTAATATTCATCATCATTACACAAGACAATTACATTATTTTCATATCCCTAAATGCTCCAAACTTTCCCTTCGCTATCTGGGTCCTAATCTTTGGAATGCTCTACCACATGATATTAAAAAATGCTCCACTCTAAATATTTTCAAATCTTCATATAAAAAACTACTCATCTATCGATAATGTATAATACCAATTTCATACTATACTGTTGATTTTATACTGGTACCTATTTTTGTAACATTTTTACATTGTACATCCTTAGATTAATTGTTAATACCATTTTTATATACCTACATGTAACATAATATAAGTGTTTTCTTTTATATGTAGTCTAGTTGTCATTTTAATGATTTCTGTTAAACCGCAACATATACCCACTAGGGTGTCTAGCGGCTTGTTTTTATAGTGTATATTATATAAGAATTATGAAATAAATAATTGAATTGAATTGAATTGAGATTCAGATTTTTTTCAGATTCAGATATTTATTACTATTTTGAAAAACATTCAATACAACATGACGCGCTCAAGAGTATATTCATGGTGTCAAATAAGTCCCGCCCCCTGCCACAGCTAAAACCTTAATATATGGTACCTAGTGTGATATACCATTGGACAGTTCATCCAAAGTTATGTTAACTCACCAACTGTGAAGTATTTTGGATGAAATTCACCTATATTATCATGATGTCATTTACTGCACCTCTAATTTCTACACATCTAACCCTATCCAGAAATTGGTTGAATTCATTACCATATACATATGTAGTCATCTTTAGGTCCTTTGTCTTTTCTTATACCCGATTCTTAAAATCCTGCCAAATACGCCAAATTGCCATGTTTCTAAGCCTATGGTCACCTCAATTGATATAATGTAAAATTTTGTGAGATTGATTGACATATGCCAATCAACGTTCCTTTGGAAGACCTTTCCAATGACATATCACACTTGGTACCATATGACCTGGTCTTGGCTGTAGAGGGGGGACGGGACTTATTTGACACCCTGTTTGTTGGTTTTAACTGGACAGAAATGGGTAAAACAAATAGAAATAGAGTGAAGAAATACCTGAGAATGACATTGGCCAAAGTCTGTTGGAAATCATTTCAAAAATGTAAAAAATATTAATACTCGGAGGACAGGGCACAAGAACGGGTGATTGCTGCTAGGTTTATGATATATATAATTTGTAAAAGACCACATGCAGTATGGCAAGTGATTTTAGACAGTCATATCTTTCACCATGAGTACTTTCTGGGCATAAATACAGTGGTTTATATTAAAACAGTATTTTTTATTTTTTTTATTTTTTTTTATTTCATCATTTACTTATATTACATACAATATGAGTACAAATAAATATGAATACAACCATACAAAAATCAAATTACAATCAATCAAAAATACAGGCATATTGAATTAAAAGTTTTTGATTAAATTTTCAATCCACAATGCTAAAACAGTTTCCCTTTCTATGACATGAAATATAGATTCATAAAAATGTAAATTTGTAACAAAAGCTGTTCTTATATCAAATCTTTTCCAACTCTCGTGATCTTCAGAAAAATTGCACCAATTATTATAAATTGTTATGCCAAGAATTGTTATTATGACATTTCTAAATTTGGTGATATTGTTCCCCGGTAAAAATCCAGTAACAATATGTTTGTATTTAATTTGACACTTTAACTTTGCACTTAACTCTTGCCACACATGTCTTACCTTTATGCATTGAAATAACATATGTTTCATGTTGTGTAATTCATGACATATTTGACAATTTCTTGAAACTTTATTATTCCATTTAGATACGAGATATCCACATGCCAGTAGATTGTTCAATATTTTGAAATTAAATTCTGAGAAGTAATTATAACTCATGTTCATTAATTTCTGATTATAAATACTTTTCCATTGATGCTGTTCTGCAATAGTAAAACAAGTACTCCAGTATGTTTCATGAATGTTTCTCTCAAATTTAAGATTTCTCAAAATGTTGTAGAAAAATTTGGCTTTTTTACCTTCAAGTTTAATAAACTGATTTTCAATCAAAAATTCTGTTTTATCCTTTACATTAATGAATGGTAGATTAGTTTTATCACGATTTGAACAGACACTCATAATAGTTTTCTTTATTGTATATAATTCTATCATCCAGTTCCTCTTTCCAAGTAAAACCTGAGTACATGACTGACTGCTTTTAAAAGAACCATTTGGATTAAAGAAATCCTTTACATAAACAAAACCTGACTGTATCCAGTTTTTAAAGAATAAAACTATTCCTCTATTTTGGAATCGCCTGTTACACCATAAAACCTCGCTGAAAATATCATCACTTTTAATTTTGTCATTTGTTATATATGTTTTACATGTGTTGAATGAACAAAATATGTCCTTATAAAAAGGTGTTAGTATGTTTATGCCATTTATTGATTGTTGGTCAAAGTTGCAGTTCAGGAAAGTTTCTAATTTTAGACCGGTTTTCTTTATAAGGTACGATGGAAAAAGTTTCCATGATGTTTTGCTAGTAAGTAGTCTATTTATCCAAATGGACTGAAGACTTTGTATTTTAAGCTTAATATCTACTACGTTTAATCCCCCATCCTCTATTGCTCCAATTATTGAATTTCTTTTCACTTTATCCTTCCCATTCCATAAAAAGTCAAAAAACATTCTCTCTATTTGTTTAATGATTGACTCCTCAATTTCCATAACTGTAAAATTGTATACAAGCTTTGATATTGCTAGGGAATTAATAATTTGAGCTTTTCCAAAATATGTTAATTTTCTCATTTTCCATGTTTGTAATAGTTGTTTTAGGTCTCTTAGTCTTGATTCCCAGTTTAAAGAATGACATTTTTGTTTATCCCCAATGTGAATCCCAAGGCATTTTATTGGTGTATTACTGAAAAGTATTTCTTCAATGTATTCGTCCTTTGAATCCTGAAGAGACCCCAGTTGTATTCCTTTAGTTTTATCAATGTTTAGTTTAAGCCCACTAACCCTTGAGAATTTCTCTATTTTCTGTAATGCAGCTTTAAGAGATTCTTTATTTGATAAAATTAAAGTTGTATCGTCTGCGTGTTGTATTATTTTGATATTTTTATTCTCTATTTCTATACCATGTATTATATCATCATTTTTAATTGAAACAGCCATTACTTCTGTGCAAAGAATAAATAGCAAAGCCGATATAGGGCAACCTTGCCTTATTCCCCTATACATATGAAAGCATATTAAAACAGTTTGTTTTCTTTCATTTCTTTCAAGTACCCATGATGATAAAAATATAAATCAAACAATTCGAAAAATTATGAATAAGGACCCCATGTTAACATTTTTTTTCAAAATATTGAACCTATTTACTCAAAAGAGGATCTTTTTCTGATTTTTATTGCATGAAAACATTATTCAACAAGGGGTCTAAGACATGTTCAAAAATAGAATGGAATTGAAAGCCTAGTTTTGAAGATATCAATTTTCGATGACCAAAATTATGCTGAAAACAATGGATAGCACGAGTTTTCCCTATGGGAAAATAACATTGGATATGTGGTTTTTAACCTCACTCATTTCAATACCCATCCCCTTTTCAGAAATTGTTAATATAGTGTAGAGGATACTTTCGATATGTTTAAATTGAGAAAAACAAGATCCTCTTTTAAAAAAATTAGCCTAACATTTTTCAAAAAGTGCCAAGGTGGGGCGCTAATCCATAATTTTTCAGAGACTTGAATTGATATTTTACTATCATGGGGACTTCACTTGAAAGAAAACATATTGTTAAAAGCCACTGCATTTATGGTCAGAAAGTACTCATGGTGAAAGATATGACTGTCTAAAATCACTTGCCATTCTGCACGTGGTATTTTGTCTTTTTCACAAGATTAAAATATAATTCGACTTAAGCCATTTTGAGAAGATCGGGAAAGCATCCCTGTTGAAAAGATGTGTAATTAATAAAAAGAAAAGGGTTTAGAAGTTCATCCTTAGACTGACGTATAATAATGGGTTTGATGTCATCAAAAGATGCACTGCTATCTTTGAGTTCACCCAATATGTCATGTTATGATATCTCCCTCAGCTTTTTGCCCCGCCTTTTCAAATATGCCCCGTCTATAAAAATTTCCCTCACCTATTCAAGTTTGCCCCGCCTTTTCAAATTTGCCCCGCCTATTCAAGTTTGCCCCGCCTTTTCAAATTTGCCCCGCCTATTCAAGTTTGCCCCGCCTTTTCAAATTTGACCCGCCTATTCAAGTTTGCCCCGCCTTTTCATATTTGCCCCGCTTATTCAAGTTTGCCCCGCCTTTTCAGATTTGTCCCGCCTATTCAAATTTGCCCGCCTATTCAAGTTTGCTCCGCCGTTTCAAGTTTACCCCGCCTATTCAAGTTTGCCCCGCCTTTTCAAATTTGCCCGCCTATTCAAGTTTGCTCCGATGTTTCAAGTTTTCCCCGCCTATTCAAGTTTGCCCCGGCTTTTCAAATTTGCCTCGCTTATTCAAATTTGCCTCGCCTTTTCAAATTTGCCTCGCTTATTCAAATTTGCCTCGCCCATTCAAATTTGCCAAGCCTCTTTAAATTTGCCTCACCTATTACGATTACGCTCGTGGCAATATCTCATTATCTAATCCCTTGTAAATAATGAATCTACCCTGAACGCAGAGTCTAGTTATACACTGATGAAGACGAAGCTCTCTCTTAAGAAGCGAAGTCAAACGAATGCAAAGGGTATTGATTGTGAAAACTGATTTGTTTGTAGGTCTCCATTGAATCGTGTGAAGATTCAAGAAGTTTGGAAGGAAACACGACGAAGATGACCTGGCAAGAATATGAAATGCTATTCAAAACGTACGTCGACATCGATATATGAAATCCCGATATCCCAATACATACACGATATCACGACATATACACGAAATCACGACACATATCACTCGTATTAGTATCATTATATGTCAGATCGATGTATTCCAAGTGCTAAAACTGAGGAATGAAAAATTTTCAGATCAATTCTTCAAACGACGTACAATTGTAAAGTCATCGAAGAGATTGGTAGCGCGATAAGAAAAAATGGCGAAGGTGTCCATTCTACGTGTATGAACAACGTATATAAACCGAGGGTGCCATGCATCGTCTACGCATTTGGGTACGATAAAAGTGATATTCCTAAATCTAGTTAGAATCATTCATTTATATGGATCCAATAATCAACCCATAACAGGACGTTTAATTCATTTTATGTTTAACTTCTTTTTAAGAGTTGGGTATATATGGCACTTTGAGGATGAATTTGCTGAACGCGGATGCCAGGTGTTTGCATTTGACCCCAGGTTGGTGGATTTCGACCTTTACCTTATGCAATAAAGTATGGTCGAAATAGCAACAATGCAGGCGCTTGTGATGTACCCTTAAACCAAGGACGGGCGCACTGTCCAGTTCAGTTCATTGTTTCTTGTTTTTTGTTGTTGCATGTTTTTTTTGTTTTTTTAGTATATATTTATTTTAGCTACATACAGTTACTTTCTCACATGTTTACAGACTTGGAGAAGCATGATGAATATTCTTGTAGAGCCAATCGTGTTTAAATTATTAATGGAAAATAGGTTATTCAAAAGCAATACCGTTTAAAGGATCCCATTTATCTCCTATTCCTACACGTGAATCTAAAAGTATCTAATGATACATTTAGAACCTGTAAATGTTGGTTTCACCTTAGAATGTTAACATACATATCTTTTAAAATTACTAAATACATTATTTAAAACAAATCTTCTTGTTCTTTAATCTTTAGTATGAAAACTGAGAGTCACAAACGAAGCGGAAATCTTTGGTTCTATAACATCGGTCTCAGAAGTGTTGACTCTGATAACTTTACTCCACATGTGGATAGCTACGTAAATAAATCACAGATTTTTACCTGGAAAGTGCGAACGTTAAAGTCAATCATGGAAATGCTGGGACACACGAATATAACGGTATGTATTTTGCAAGTTTTCGGTGTACACGCATTGTGGTTCCTGTGTTTCGTTCCCTGGGTTTCGTTTGCCAGATCGATTGCTCATTCTTCAAGACTCCTTGCTAATCGTTTGCAAATCAGGTTCAAAAGAATGCCGCCATTTTTATTCAAAATAACTGTCACATTAGCCGTGTGGGCTCAACGTTCGCCACCGTGTGGCTCACAAGGTGAGGAACAGTGAGCCCACACAGCCTAAGTGTGACAGGTCCATAAGGGATTGAATACACAGTTGGAAAAGTGTCCGAATAACAGTAATGATCTGAAAGCGTTAACGGTCTTTTTCCAGTTACGATGTAGAATAGATAGTACTTTCATGAATATAGTCTGAGCAACTTGCTGTTTTTGAATAAACAATACTCATTTGAAAAAAAAACAGAAAACTTTTTTGTGTTTTAGATTTTTTCAAATATTTGAAATTTCCGCCATTTTAATAAAATGGGGCAAAACAATATGGCTTTTGCATGATGCTAGAAATATCTGTAAAAAGTTCACACAGAGCACAGTTTAAGGTTAAGATTATTTGTCTGTTTCTATTCTGTTCTCGGTCGTGTATAGAGAATAGTAAAATCGTAACCGTTTAGCTGTGCCATGCATGAATTCAACTGAACACCTTCGATTCACTAACACATTTGCGATGACGAAATCAGGGGACGTTCCGCTTAAGTGGATCACTTTTACACCAAAGAATCCCTAAATGTGAGTCATTTTGAAGGTAAACCCCTAGATATTAGTCCCATTTTGATGGAAAAATTCCTAGAACTGGGTCTTCTTTTTGAAAGTTCTAAAACTCGGTATTATTTTTGAAAAAGAATCGCCGGAAGTGAGTCTTGTTTTTGAAAAATTACCTCGAAGTGGGTCTATTTTTGAAAGAAGACCCCTAGATGTGGGTCGATTAAATGAGAAAAAATCCCTAGGTGTGAAAGTTGACCCCCCCCCCCCCATAACAGGATGCCTAACAACAATGCTATAATTTGATACTTTGTCAGACAAAAGATGCACTATAGGATATTGATTTATAAAGTTTAATAATGTGATTGAGTTGGTTTTTCAGATTTTACAATTTGATATTCCCTGCGTCGATATCATGGCTGATTTGCTGACTTGTCCTTTTTATAAGCCTGACATCCATTTCTTTCTTTTTGTATTGAAACATTTCGCTCAAGTAATACTCGACGATGATGTAACTACGCACATCAAAGCTTAGGATGAAGAAAATAATTTAATTTATTCAAGCAAAGCATTTTTGTTTTACAGATCGATGTTCTCAAGATGGACATTGAAGGTTACGAATTTGACGTCCTCACAACAATGATGGACGATGGTACAATAAAACACGTGCGCCAGTTGCTAGGTGAATGGCACATAAGAGGAGATCAAAGATTTGAATTTTCTATAAAATATTTTGTAGCAAAACGGCTTTTGAGTTACGGATTTAAAACTTTCAATTACAATGTGGTAGGTCGGCATGGCCAATGTAAAAAAATCTATTGCTTGCAAGCTAATTTGGGATTTGTCAACACCAAATTTCGAAAATAAAACTCTTTCATGATATGTACATTTTAAGTCATTTTACTTTACCCGTGGTATTCAGTTATTAGGGAGTTTAAGCTAGCAATGTTTTTCACAACCTAAACGTAAACGAAAAATATTTAAGCGATGCAGTTGTACAGGCGTTTGGCCATACGTATAGGTTGGCGTTTCGATTTTATATGCAAGCTTAAACTCTCTATTACTAGCCCATATCACATATTGCGCGAAACATTGCACTACATTGTACGAACTGAAGGCTGGAGCTTTCCCTATGGAACTTGAAGACTAAATATTCTTGCTGCTATAATTTTGCTGTTTACAATACAAATCTTTAGAACTGATCCGGTAATTCTTGTCGATCCTGTATTAAATACTGGATTAAGAAAGCAATTTTCTCAGTAAAAGCCAGATACGAGGTAATTTCCAATATAGATGCGTGTAGCCTACTCTGCAAGTGTAATTCATCGCTTGTCAGAAACATATTTCTTTCCTTATAATTTTACTTTTAGCTAATCATTAGGTCACAATAAATCACGAAGACCCAATAAAATGGGATGGGACTTTAATTAAACAAGGCAATTTACTATTTTCACTGTATTTCTCCCATCTGTCATCACTATTCGTCATTTCAAATGGAAAAAGCTCACCGTGTAAAGTGTATGTTGACCTAGACACATGAATAACGCAAATGCCACTCAATATTATGACATTTTCACTATGCAATTATAACATTAATGTAGATTTGTGTACGCAATAAAGAGAATTATTATCCAGATTATTTGAAAACCTAGTCTCTTTAACAGTTTAAGATGGAATATGAATAAAGTAATTTTACATCTATACACAATTGTATGTAATAACTTTTAAAACAAAAAAGTATCCCCATCTGTTCACCCAAGGGGGGGGGGTGTATAGAGGGTCTTGGAAATGCAGTACAATATTTTTCAGCTCTCTTATACCATATACAATATTTTTTCACCCCTTTTATACCATATACAATATTTTTCACAGCTCTTATACCATATACGATATTTTAGGTGAAATACAATATACGATAATTTTGAAACTGCTTTTGGTTAAAGTTTGGATATTTATAAGGAAATTATATTAGGAGAGAATCCATGTACTAAAGTAAATGTATTATTATAAGGCAACTAGACTCCACATAAACAGTACTGTCAACCCCCAAAAATTTTCTCGCGGGACAGATTTTTTAGACCCAGTGCCCAAAATTCGCGGGATTTTGCGGGACATCTACTAAATTCGCGGGATTTCGCGGGACATTTAAGGGATTTGCGTGATTGCGCTTATATGCCAATTTTTTTTATCAAATTCGCCACGGACATCTAATACATTCTTCGAACTGCCCTGGAACTATATCTATACCAGGACTGGCATCCAGATCCAAGTATTTTTTAAGACCGCCGACTCTCGTTGGCCTATTTATCCCTATTGACTCAGTTGTTCATATACATTTACGTACCTTAGATGCTTTGTAATCGACGTAGATAGAAAATATTGTTTCCTAAATTGTTCTGAAAAGCGATAATTATTACTAAATGTACTTTGAACAGGTCGACTGACCAAAAAGTCGGACTTCTGGCACAAGGTCACGTGACCAAATAGAATTTGTATAGATAAAATTGATGACGTCACCGCCATCGGTGTAGGTCAGGTCAAAAGTCATCCATCTTGCCATTTGCCCAGCGTATTCTTACCAGTCGACAAAAAACGATGAAATCACGTTGAAAATAAAATATACACTTTAAAATTGAGGCTGATTGAAATTGACAAGACTCCATTGAATACAGCTGTGCAATTTACAGTCACCAAGATGAGCGAACTCCTATGCAGTGTCTCGGTATAGACACTGCGGCGGGCAGATTATGGAATCCCCAAAATTTGGGGAAGATAGTCCCCCTTTTTGTCACAGATGTACTTGTGTTTCACACAACTTATAAAATATATGTTCTTTTATGTTCACCAATAATTATTTTGTCAAAATATTCCAAAATCAATGAAATATAAGAGGAAATCCCCGCCGAAGGAATTCTGAGTAAAAGTTGTGTTGATAAAAGTTTACCGCACGTGTTGTTTATTAGTTAATACGCGCAATTCAACCAATGAAATTGTCTAAATTTTACAATCACGCGACCTGAGCATGGGACTAGAACCAATCACGTCAGTTGTTTATTACGATGTTACCATGCTTACGGTGAGATACCTGCCCGCCGCAGTGATATATCACTGCACGGGAGTTCGCAAGATGAGCTAATTTCGGAGAGATTCGGTGAGATTCGGGAATTAAAAAAGGTAAGCTCTTCCGGTTTCCCAACTTCATAAATTTAAAATCCCAGAACCTCCTTTCGCCAGAAACATTCTCTCTGACTGTGAAATTCGCGGGATTTCGCGGGACCATTCGAGGGACAAACACCCTAATTGCGGGACAGTTAACAGGTTTACCAGCAAAAACTTCATAGAGGGACAGATTTTCTAGAAAAAGTGCCCTAAATTTGCGGGATTTCGCGGGACATCCACCTAAATTTGCAGGATGTCCCGGGACATTCAAGGGATTTGCGTGATTTGGACTAATGTAAAAGCGTGTAAAAGTACTTAAGGTACAGCTGGAAAGTAACATTTTGGTAAAAAATTGCTATACCTGCACATGTTATTTTCTGGTACAAAATAAAGTATGAAGGCATGTGTCAATTTCCTTGCTTTTTTCAGGAAAGTATCATTACATTGTCTTCTTTTAGAATATCTGGTAGGCGTTTAATGGGAACTACAGGAAATTCTGATATTTCACACTTTCTATTTTTCCAAATTTTCTTTCAAAGTTTCCAGACAACACAGGAGCTACCATTGACCTGTTTCTAGATATTCTAAAAGAAGACAGTGTAATGATACTTTCCTGAAAAAAGCAAGGCAATACACACATGCCTTCATACTAAATTTTGTACCAGAAAATAACATGGGCAGGTATAGCAATTTTTTACCAAAATGTTACTTTCCAGCTGAACCTTAAATCAAACTATCAGATACTGATTAATTAAGGAATAAATAATGATAGGCCATTCAATATGGTGAAATTCAGCACGAGTTGGACAGAATGTTGTACAAAGCACGAACCGAAGGTGAGTGCATTTGTACTAACATTCTGTCCAACGAGTGCTGAATTTCACCATATTGAATGGCCTATCGTTATTTATTCCGATTCAAACATAAAAATTAGTAAAAGCCGTGTCTGTGGAACGGGCATGAAGGAAGAATACGCATGCTGTCAAGATTCTGAAGTCGGCCGGAAAAATTTTAGAATTTGTTTGGGCTGTTCTATTTTACTCCCCGTTTTAGATTTTATACGGTGTATGCAAACAAAGGAACAGTAGTTACGGAGGGAGTAAAAAAGAACAGCTATCCCCGGACAGAGCCCCAGATGTGCAGCTGAGATGTGACGTCACTCAAAACAATGCGAATTGCAGATTTAATAGAGCATGGTCGTGCATCTATGGAGAATTAGAGAACGTTCTATATTGGCTATGCTGCATTCTGATTGGTTGAGAAATTCGAATAGAGCACGGTCATGTTTGAATCAAATATAATGCACCGTTACATTGTAACTTAAATAAACGTCAACATAACTTCACAAAATACGCATAGAAATATTATTTCAATTGAAAGCTCATGGTATAGGGTTTCGATTAATCTACATCAAATTATAGGGAATGAGGTTACTTTTCTAGATAGGGTTTGTAGAAAAAAACGGGTACCGGGTAGTAAATCCTCAATGCTGGGTTCAAACTTGGTACCCGGTCGAAAAAACCGGGTACCCAAAAAACGAAATATACGAATATACAACATAATTAGATCATTAGAAAACGTGTAAGATTTGTTTTGACTTTACAAAAATGTATGTAACTTCCTTCAAAATTGAGATAGAAGCTTCAAATAAAAAGCATTTTAAGCCTCATTTCTTCCTCTATCATCATGGTCATATTTCCATTGGTAATGAAGGGGGAGGGGGGGGTGCGATCGCACCATCACACCCTCTCCTGGCTACGCCAATGACATTGTAAGACGATTTGAATAACAAGGCAAATCAATTTTACTCTATTTTCAATAGTTCGTATGTTGGTACGTGAATTGTTTTGATTATGATTTAAATCTGTAAATTGCTATCGTTGCTTTAGCAGAGAGGTGACGTGTGTTAATTTACATGATGCAATGTGTAAGATTTTGATTATTAATCACAATTTAAGTTATCCCAACTGTCGACAAAATGTCCACTGAATTGTCCACTAAATTAGCCAGGAGAAGGTGCGATGGTGCGATCGCACCCCCCCCCCCCCATAACCAATGAAAATATGGTCATGACGATAGAGGAAGAAAAGAGCCTTAAAATATGCTTTTTATTTGAAGCTTCTAGCTCAATTTTGAAGGATGTTACACACATTTTTGTAAATTCAAAACAAATCTTACACGTTTTCTGATAATCTAATTATGATATACTCGTATATTCGTATATTTTTTGTTTTTGGGTACCCGTTTTTTGATGGAGTACCGGGTACCAAGTTTGAACCCAGCATGGAGGATTTACTACCCGGTACCCGGTTTTTTCTACAAACCCTTTGTAGATATCAGCGTCCATTTATTGTAACTCGCGTTTGCTAACATTTGCTCACTTCTGAGATGAAGGCCACACGGATAGTAAAAAGACCAACGTTGGAACTATTTGTGACCTACATCCCTATTGTCGTAATTAAAATTAAAGTTGAACCCTTCCTCATTATTTTGATACCAAACAACAGCATGCTAGGTACTTAAAATTAGGTGAACTTTACTCCTCAAAAGTGCAAAAACTTAGCTTCTTATATAAGATTAGATAATCACAATATAGGGGATTGCAACAATTTCGGAAATTCGCGGAAGTCGAAAGCCACATTTGCGGGACTTCGCGGGACATTGCAGGACACGCGAATTAGCCTAATTTTGATCGAATTCGCGGGATAATCCCG